CCTTGACCACGCCCTGACAGGCGTGGTCAAGCACACCTGTAGCCAGCCTCTTAACAGGCATGGCTTACTGTCCCCTACATCTCCCCCAAAGTTTTTCAAACTGCCATGCCATTTCACATTCCTATGAGTAGCGTAGTGTCTAAAGATTCAAGTTTCTTTACATTCTCCTCATCCAGTGGCTGATGAGAGCAGAGACAGACATCCACAGAAATACACTGAGCTGAAATCTGGAACTCAGTTGAAGAGAGGGAGGAATGAAGAACGAAGGGGTCTGTACCTGGTTGGAGAAACCCACAGAAACAGTTGGCCTGAAAAAGGGAAAGCATATCGACCCCAGATGCTCTTTGGGAGGACAGTACAGGACTAATCCAGCCCCCTGATCATGGATGCAATGGGGAGGCCCCTGCAGTCCTGGGAGCCTCTGGAGGTGGACTGGCGTTTTGCCCTGGTGGGTGGGAGGTATATGAGTGTTTTGCCTGCATTTATGTCTCTGCATCACTTGCATGCCTGGTGCCCTTGGAAGCCAGAAGGAGGCTTCTGGTCCCTTGACCTGGGAGTTACATTTGGTTGTGGTTCTGAGCCACCATGTAGATGCCCTGGCTCCTATAATCTTTCTACTCCCTATTCCATGATTTTCCCTGAGCCTTAGGTGTAAGGGTTTTGTTGTAGATGTATCAGTTGGCATTAGACATACACAGTCCTCTGTTCTCTGACTTTTGATCAGTTGTTGATCTCTGTAAAAGTCTTCCTTATCTGTTGCCAAAAGAAGCTTCTTTGATGTGGGGTGAGAGCCATTCTTACTTGTGGATATAAGGATAAGTTTAGAATACAGTTAGAAATTATATTGGTTTAGGAAAATGACAGTAGTACGATCTTTGGGGTCTGTGACTTCCAGTCACAGTAGTTGACTAGGTTTACAGTACTAGGCACAAATCCCCTCCTGTTGAGAGGACCTTAAGTCCAAATAGATGGCTGTTGATTGCCCCCAAAATGTAAGTGCCACTATTGTACCACTGGGGATATTTTGCCAGGCCAACCATTGTTATGGCTCATAGGCTTCAAAACTAAGTAGGACTACATTTGCTCCTCTCCCTTGGCAAATTAAATAAATAGCACCTTTGAATACTTCGAGAGCCAGTCCTCAGGGAGGAGGTTTTCAGGGCAGTCCCAGTTCAATTTCTCCAAGTCCTGTGTCTAGAGTGTGTGGTGTCAGTAGGGTCCTACAGTTTAGATTAGGTTGGTGCACTGGATCTGTTTTGTGGGTTTTTGTTTGTTTGTTTTAGGATAGTCTCATTGTGTAGCCCAAGATGGCCTAAGCTGTCTGTCTCCCAAGTGAACATCCTTTTGCCTTAGCCTCTGAGTAGAAGTGATCACAAGTCTCTGCCATCAGGCCCACATTCTGCTCTGGTTTTATTTATATTTTTTTGGAGACTAATGATAAGCTTAGCATCCCATAGGCATATTGACCCACTTAAATATCTTTTAAGAAGTAACCAAATATTTTGCTTATATTGTACATTTTTTGTCTTTTTCCTATTGAATTAAGAGTTCTTTGTATTTTCTATACATACACACATGATTTATAAATATTTTCTCTCATTCTGTTAGCTGTCCTTTTAGTTTCTTGATAGTATCATTGTAGCACAAAAATCTAATGTGATACAATTAAATTCTGTCAGCTGTAAGTATCATCACTCCTGAAGAATTAATTTAAATGTGATTTTATGTATTTTTTTTTCTCCGTAGTAGGGTTTGAACTCAGGGCCTTGTATATGCTAAGCAAATGCCAAGCCCTGTTTTTTTTTTTTTTTTTATCATTTTGAGACAGGGTCTATGTAGGTAGGTTGTTAGACCGACTGTGAACTTGCTATGTGGCCCAGCCAAACCTCCAACTTGTAAACCTTTTGCTTCAGCCTGTTCAGTGGCTGAGATTACAGGAATATACATCACTCTAGGCTCTGATTTTACTGTTCTTGTAAGTGGAATTTAAGGATAGCATTAAAAAGTTACAATCAGTTGTGTACTCATATTTGAAAACAGACTCATCTGTATTTACTCCCAAGGTAAATATATGTATAAACTCTTATAAGTTATGAAGAGGTTGTGTATTGATGTATTTTGAGTCAATTGGAGATTTGAATTAACTAAGAACTAAAATATCTTATGTTGAGGCAGCAAAAAGCAAACAAGAAGCCTGAAAATTTTTTTATGATAGCATGATAAAAGGTACCTGATTTTTTCCAAGATTTTAATGCCAAGAAACAAGGAACAAGGCTGATTGTAAATCTCCATGCACCAAACAGGGCACCAAACATCGGTTCATCAGGTCATCCAGAAAGAGGTTTCAGATTGCTTCAGGTTCTACCTTCTGTTTTGTAGATGAGGGGCTGACTGTTGTATTCAAACCTGACAGTACAATCTTCAACCTTTTCATGTGAAATGTGACCTACATCATTGACTGAGGGAGCCTTACAAGCTTTTTTACTTTTATTCTTCATTTTAAAGACTTTTTTTTTTTTTTAATTAGGTGTATTGTTTGTGTGTGGGTATGTTCATGAGAGTGCATGTGTCCCCAGAGGCCAGAAGAGGGCATCAGACCCTCTGGACCTGGACTTACAGGCAGTTGTGAGTCATCTGATGTCAGTGCTGAGAACCAAACCTGAGTCCTCTGGAAGAGCAGAAAGCGCTCTTACTGCTGATCCATCCTCCTGCCCCCAGACTTTTAGTTTTTAAGATATTTATGTAATTTATTTTCTTACCAGTGTTTCTTATGTATGGAAAACAAAAGCAAAAATGAACTATTAGTTTTAATTTAAAGTGATGGTCTGGGAAGCCTCATAACTTTGGTATTTATCAGTGGTAACTTCTGTTGAACTGTAATTTAGAATTTACTATTTTTGACTCCTTAGGTTTAGCTGACAGATTTGAAGAATACCCTAAACTTAGGGAACTCATCAGACTAAAGGATGAGTTAATAGCTAAGTCAAATACTCCTCCAATGTAAGTAGTTTAATGCTTTTTCTTTCTAATTCTGACTTACAGTATCAGTCTGTTTGTTCTGTAGCCTTATTCTTTCCTGTTTTTAGTAAAGTATGTTACTTTGAAACTCTGGTGCTGAAACGAGTGGCTTCTCGTTTAATTCTGTAGGTAATTTGGAAGGTTTGTGAATTCTGCCTCAGTATCTGTAGGGTGGAGATGCCCTCCTGGGGCTAGTAGCATTTGAAACTCATGGTGCTTTACTACATAGTCCTGCATTTTTGCTTCTGAGTTGGGAATCATTGTACTACTCTCAGTAAAGCTTGTTGGGGACAAGTCTGGTCTTCTACCTGTTACCTAAATGACAGGAAAGTGCTTGTCCTTCCAAGATGGCGATGACTTCATTATAGTCTGTGGTTTTTTAATCTAAGCATTAAAAGCCCCCAAGGCCCTAAGAAAATTTCCTATATTTAAAGTATCTTGAATTGGGGACCAGTGAGATGGCTCTATGAGTAAAGGTGCTTGTTGTCCAGCAATGCATGCCTGATGACCTCAGTTAAAAACCCAGAACCTGCAGAGAGGTGGAAGGAGAGAGAACCCACAGCACAAGGTTGCCCTCTGACCGACATATGGACACCATGCCCCACCCTGCCCCAGTAATAATAAATAAAATGTTCTCTTAAAGAATGTCTTGAACTTTAAATACTTCCACCCTGTGTAAGCTAACTTCATTAAAGGCTAGCAGTAATTTTCATTAGGTAGTGTGACAATGCCATTAATGTAAACATTTACTAATACTCATAAAAGGAAATCATGTCCATACTTATAAACTCCTAAAGGAGGAATTTGAAACTTAGATGTCACTCTTCTAACCTAATTAAATAATGATATACTAGTACAAAAATAGTGATATAAACATCAAAGATTAGAGATCACATCTAAGTGTAGATTTTCAGTGTAAAATAAATGAAGGATATATTCTTGATGTACATGGAGAGTAATATGCTCTTTACTTTGTTGTAAATATGCCCATATCCTAAGGAAGACCTTGATTAATGATATAAAGTCTGCAGGAAAACAAAAGACCTACTAAAGCTATTTAGTAATTAGCTTGTGATTATCTTACTAATAATGTTTATTTAGCAGTAATGAGCCAATGATATTGGGTAAGGAATTTCCTTCATTACCACTGGAGATATTTCAAAAGCCTTCCCCCTTTTGTTAGGTACTTACAAGCAGACATAGAAGCCTTTGACATCAGAGAATTGACACCCAAATTTGATGTGATTCTTCTGGAGCCTCCTTTGGAAGAGTACTATAGAGAGACTGGCATCACCGCGAATGAGAAGTGCTGGACGTGGGATGATGTACGGTGAAACTTTATATTTCAGATGATTATGTGCTAATTTGATCAGAAAGTAGAGTTCTGAGTACACTACACTGTGCTTTCTTAGGAATTTATTTTTCTGTTTGACAGTCATTGAGGTTTTGAGGGTTTAATGAGGTTAGTGAGATCATCCAATGGCAGCTGAGCTGGACTAGAGTGCAGTAAGTGTGAACAAAGGGATGGCCGGAGACTTTCATTACTCATCTGTAAGAGAAGATTCCTGCAGATACCTGGGCCTTGTGCTTCAGCCACCCAGGATATCTGTGGCTATAGGCCACACCCAGCTTATATTTCATTTTATCATTAACTTTAGGCTTGTCTAACCTCTGACTGTTTCTTTTAATCATCTCTGTAGTAAAATTCCATCATTCTGTATTTTTCTATCAACTCTTTCTCTTGAACACTTATGAAAACAAGAATATGTGTGCTTTTCGCACATGTATGTGTGGTGCTTGTGTATAGAATAACAGAGCCGCAGTATATCAAAGTAACTTCAGGCATAGGATTTATTTTCTATGGTATTTCCTAGAATATCTGAAGAATACATCTGTATCGATCCTAATGAGTTTCAATAGTTACTCTTTGGATTTATGATAAATTGGAAACTTCATACACTATTATTTTTGTTCCTTCTAGATTATGAAGTTAGAAATTGATGAGATTGCAGCACCTCGGTCATTTATATTCCTCTGGTGCGGTTCCGGGGAAGGACTGGACCTCGGTAGAGTAGTAAGTTGGTGTTTGTTATTTTGTTCTCAGTTGCTTTTCAGGTGGGTTCTTAACATTCATTAGGGGGAAAAATACATTTTATAGGCTACAAGTTTAATGCTGTTTGTCTTCCGTTTCTGAACTAGTTTAATAAAAATACTGAGAATTAAAAAGGTAAGGTACTTTATTTTGAGGTATATCATATTGTATATGATATTTGGTCACAGTGACAAGAAAAGTAACTAATGCAGCATTTAAAAGATGTACTTAACATGTATTATGCCTTTTATTTTGTCTCCTGTCTGCACTAGAACAGTTGTTAGGATGCTCTGAAATTTGGTGTCCTTCTAGAAAATTCCTTAATTCTGGTTTCTTTTTAAGTATTTTTTTTTTGAAGATTTAATTTTGAAATTATTTCTAGTGTTTACGAAAGTGGGGTTACAGAAGATGTGAAGATATTTGTTGGATTAAAACCAATAAAAACAATCCTGGCAAGACGAAGACTCTAGATCCAAAGGCAGTTTTTCAGAGAACAAAGGTATTACCTTTTTTACATTTTTCTTTATTCCCATTCTCTCCAACTTTTCTAAATTACTATATTCAGTGAAATTAATTTCAGTACTAAGGCTCTTATGCTTGTAAAGTAGCTTGAGCATTACAATTTAGAAGTGTCTCCTTCGAGATCTTGGGACAGTACACACTGACAGTACACAGTAGGTTCCTGTATATTGTAGACTGCCATAATTTACAGAAGTTTTCCCTAATCTAAGCCCAGGAAGAAGAAATGACTGCAGCACTCAATTGCTGACCAATTAGAGTCATGTTTGTCTAATCTTACATTTTCCATACAAGAACCACAGAGGACTTCTGCCTGCATATGACTGTCTCACTAGTTTATGCTGTAAGAGCTTTTGCACATTACACTTTGGAAGCCATTGGAGGGAGCATCTATCTTACTAAGTCTTCCTTGAACAAGATCACGTACATGACAGAATTTAGAAAATCTCCAAGTTGGAGAAGCTGTGGAATTGCTGAGAGGGAGGAGTGCCTAGAGGCAACCTAGAATTCAATTCCATCCTCCTTATATTCCTCCTTATATGTATCCTCCCATCTGGCTAGTTGAGTTGTACATCCTTTTATAATAAACATGCTATAATAAGTAAAGCACTTTTCTTAATTCCATGAACCACCCAGGCAAACGTTTGAACCTGGGAGGATCATTGCAACCTCTAATTTATATTTATAATTTTAATTTATATAATTAGTCAGTACCATATGACTTTGGATTCATTCATATCTGAAGTTGGAGTGCCGTCTTAGGACCATATATGCCTTTAACCATTGGGGTCTGTATCAGTGTGGTAGATTGTGTCATAATTGAACGGATGTGGAACCACTGTGGGGGAAAAGTGGACAGTAACATGGTTTGGAAAATCCCAGCATACTTCTGTTGGAAATGAAGTATTACTTTGAAAGTATTTGAAAGAATGTAGAAGTGGGGACAAATGCTTTTCCCATTTACTTGACAAATGCATGACAGCCAGGGATCTAGGCTTGCCTGTCATAATTTTATCATATATTCAACAATCCATAGAAATGAAATTTGTTTTAGAATTGATTGAGGATATTGAAAATCTTAAATGCTGTGAAATAAGATTGTTGGTAATGAGAGTTAATTGGACTGCTTTGTTACAGGAACATTGCCTCATGGGGATCAAAGGAACTGTGAAGAGGAGCACAGATGGGGACTTTATTCATGCTAATGTTGACATTGACTTAATAATCACAGAAGAACCTGAAATTGGCAATATAGAAAAACCTGTAGAAATTTTTCATATAATAGAGCATTTTTGTCTTGGAAGACGACGTCTTCATCTGTTTGGAAGAGATAGTACTATCAGGCCAGGTGAGACCTAAGTTTTGGAAAAGATAGTTTTATCATTCTTTGAGATGCCGTTTTAAGATAACAGGACGTAGTGTTGTATAAACTAGAAGTCTTACGTGTTTGATTCCTCTTCTCTATACATCATATGTGAGCAATTTTATCCTAACAAAACTGAGAAGGCAGAGATTTCCCATATACTCCCTGCCTACACCTGCATTGCCTCCCCATTGTCAATATTCCTTGCATGACTATACAAAGGCCATAATTTATGTTAGATTGATATTGGTAGTAGTGTTTATGGATTCAGACAAATTGGTCATAATGTATGTCAATCATTATAATAAGTCACTGACTACTTCTGTTACCTTAAAGTCCTCAGTGCTCCACCTTGTAATTATACACATTTTTGGATTACAGTGATGTTTCTGTCGATGTGTATAGTAGGGTCACGGTTACTAAAGTATACATCACCTCAGTTTTTCTTTGTATTGGGAAAATTCTAAATCTTCTATGCTATTTTGATATATCCAGTTATCACTCATAGTTAAACTCTGCATTACTATGCAACTGCCATGTACACCTTACTGTCCTTTCTGTGCACTTTCTTCCCTCACTCTTATTTGGCCTTTTGTAACCACTGCTCTAGTCTCTACATCTTTTAGATGCACTTTGTGTTTCTACCTATAAATGAAAATATGTGGTGTTTTTCTTTGCCTGAATTATTTCAGTTATTGCCCTCCAGTTGCCTTACACTCAATAACAGAATTTCATTCTTTTGTGTATATATGACAGTCACTGTATCCATTCATCCATCAGTGGACACCTAGGTCACTTCCATATCCTGCTTGTGTAAATAGTGCTATGATAAACAAAGGGTTTTAGTTCTTTTAGACATGTACTCCAGAAGAGGTGGGATATTTGGGTCATATGAAGCCTCCCTCATTCTAGTTTTTTTTTTTGAGAAACCTCCATACTGTGTTCCATAATAACTGTTCTAATGTACATTTCCACCAGTAGCACGTGGGAGTTGCCCTTTCTTTGCAGCCTCTCCAGCCATAGTAGTTTCTTTTCCCTTTGATCATAGCCGTTCTGACTGGGGTTAGATGATGATACCTCATTGTGGTTTTGTTTCCTTGTTATTAATGGTGGTGTACATTGTTTTCATATCCATGGCTGTGTATGTATCTTTTGAGAAAAGTCATTGTCCATGGAAAGATGGTGTGAGGAGCAGCATCGCTGTGCTTGAATTCCTAGAACCTAAGAACTGAGTATACTTTAAGCAAAGCAATTTTCTTTTCAAGATGTAATGAGAAAATAGCAGTCCCATTTTCAAATAAATAGGAAAGATATATGTATATACTTTATTTAATTTTAACCCAACCCAAACATTTTTGTTTTTTCGAGAGAAGTTTTCTCTGTGTATAGCCCTAGCTATCCTGGAACTCACTCTGTAGACAGGCTGCCCTTGAACTCACATAGATCCACCTGCCTCTGCCTCCTGAGTGCTGGGATTAAAGGTGTGTTCCACCACCACCTGGATAGCTTATTATATCTTAAAATACTTTTTATTAGTGGTGTTCTAACAGTATAGTACCTGGATGAGGAACAACGAGGATGATATTTCATAAAAGCTATATCTAGGATAAGAAGCGAGGTATGTGCATTTGAACCCTTTTATATATGACCATGGGTATTGTATATTCCAAAGTAGAGATGGTAGCAGTGTGGGTAATTGAACCATCTTTGAGAATGTCTTGAGGATTTGAACTAGCCCTTACAGGACCAATAAAAGAGAAAGGAGATGGAAAGTCTCATCTGTTTTTTTCCCCCTTTATTCCAGGCTGGCTCACAGTTGGACCTACGCTTACAAATAGTAACTACAATGCAGAAACATACGCATCCTATTTCAGTGCCCCCAATTCGTACTTGACTGGATGTACAGAGGAAATCGAGAGGCTTAGACCAAAGTCACCTCCTCCAAAATCCAAGTCTGACCGTGGTGGTGGAGCTCCCAGAGGTGGCGGGAGAGGGGGAACATCTGCTGGCCGTGGTCGAGAAAGAAATCGATCGAATTTCCGAGGAGAAAGAGGTGGCTTTAGGGGAGGTCGTGGAGGCACACACAGAGGTGGCTTTCCACCTCGGTAACTTCAAGACACTTAACAATGTCCCCTCTGGCTTTTATTGTGGAGACTTACTTTAGAACTCACTCCCAGCTTGCACTTTGCTTTCGTTTCTCATGCTGCCAGAAAGACTTTAGCTACCCCCTTCCACCCCTCACTCCCCAAGTCCTTGCAGTCATCGCAGAGACTGCAGTTCTGCTCAGGGTAGGTGAGTCACGTGCTTGCAGTAGGACAGAATGGAACAGTAAGATGCTGACATGACTGATTTTAACCAAGGCTTTGGCTTCTTGGAAACAGGTGACCGTGACTTCTGCATCTCAGGAGCATGGCAGGAGTCGGTGCTGTTTGTTTCCCTTGCCATGGTTTCCATAGCAATGGGAGACTGGGAACCTGGGTAGAACAACAGTCTTGGGACAGGTGGTGAGCCTCTTTGGGGCCTTTAACATTTCTCATTGAAACACTAAGAAGATGTAAACCATTTCCCCCTTTCTTTTAAATCCTAAAATCACTTGAATATCATTTGAGTACTGAAGACTCTGAGAGATAAAATGAATTCACTTTCTTCCAGATCAGAACCTGGGGGTGCTGGAGCCCTCAGGGTAGGTAAAGGAAGAGATAGATAGAACTTAGTAGATTTAAAGACCAAAGCAGAAGCTTATCATAATGTAAATTGTTTAGCCACAGATGACTCATAATCATGCTTCCTAAGAAGCAAAAGGAGGCACATAACCCAAGTCAGAGGGCTGTGGCGTGGACTTGATCTTGGATTGGCTTTCCAAGACGATTCATGTTTCTTAAAAAGGTGAAAACATTTGCTGGGAGAGGGCTTGGTTTAAACATTTTAGAGTAAATGCATGGTGAGGATGAAATGACATACATCTTTAAAGTTGCTATGTAAAAGCAATTACAGGAAACCCTCAAAAATACAGCTTGGACAATGGAATTACAGTTGCCATTTAGTAAAACCGTGTGGTACATTTGTTGCCACGGGGCTGGTTGTCGTTGGCTTGGAAAGCTTCATGCTGTTGCATCTCCACACCTTCCCTCGTGTCTGAATGGGTTTGGATATGCCGGATAAGATAATACATTATTGCTCTTGGTAACTCCTTTTTTATTTTGCTATAATTTTTCTAATAAAACTTTAAAACTTGGAAATTGAGTTTGTTTTCCTTAAATGCAGTTGCTGTTGTTACCAAATGGAAAGGGCATGACCTAAAGTGAAACTCTCCTTTTGGATTGCATTTCAGTTCTACTGGTCAAAGAAGGGCATATATATGACAGCCATGGACCACAGTTTGAAGGACTTACCCTTTAAATGCTTGATGAATTTGGCTCTCTCATCCTGTTGGTGCTTTCTAGTCCAGACAGCCTTTAGATATCTCAGGTGTTTAGAGTATTTGCTGTAGTGGTATTTTTAATTTCAGTAATTAAAGTTTATCCAAAACCAAAACTGTATGCCAGATTTGATTTGTAAGAAGGTAGAGATTCCCATTTGGTCAGAGGTGAGTTCCCAGGAGATCTGACTAAGTAGTTCCACAAATTCTCCATCAGATTCTCATGTTCCATATTCTGGGCATAAAGGACAGCGGCAGTCCGGTGTTCACTTGGCCTAGGCTCCTATCAGATGTTTCATAGTTCGTCTCACAGAGAGGTGTTTTTGTACTTTGGAACTTAGATCCACAGACCATCTTATGTAGAAAAGCAAGCAGTAAGACTAGAGTTGGTTGAGGAAAGAAAAATAACAATTACCAGGTGTAGTGGTACACACCTTTAATCCCAGTACTTGGAAGGCTGTGGACCACTGCAGTCCATTTTATCACAAAGTTCGATAAAGAACATTTTTAGTTGTTCCTTAATAGTCAGCAGTTCTGGCACAGTCTTATGTTTTTGTATTTAAAGTTTCCAGAGCAGCGTGCCTGGCATTACAGAGCCTTGAGCTGCAGGTGGTATGGCCAGGGTAGTGTTCATTTACAGCAGGAACCATTCTTCCCACGTCTTTCAAAGGATGAGGAGTAGGAGGCCCGAAGTGCTTCGACTCTGCCTCACAGTGAAGTTGTTGATATCGTCTCCAATTATGTAGTGGAGAGTGCTGTACCCAAGCAAAGCTGCATCCTGTTGTTAGAGCAGCTTATGGAGATGGTAGCCAGGAGTAACAGCTGTCAGCCTGGAAGTGAGGGAGGTGGTCACACATTCAGAGGTAGGCTAGGTCCATACTGCAGCAGCTGTATGGTCTCTGTGACTTTGGTGTATTGGGGGCCTACCCTTTGAGCCCTTATGTGGAGAAACTTATACCACATAGACCCATTCTGCTAAATCTGAGTAAGGGCTATGGATTATTCTCTCTTAAGGCCACTCGTGGACAGAGGTGAAAGATTGTTACAGCTGTCTGTAGGAGTGATTCCAGCCTATGACTTTATACCCATCTTAATTGCTAATTTACACATTCTGGCTAGTTATAGCAGCTTTTATTTTAAAGCATACTGGAGGCCATAGTAGAGCACTTTGCCTCCAATGTTTAAGGCCCTGGGCTCAATCTTCTGCTCCCCAAACACACCACCAACAAAACAAAATGCATAAAATGGTAAATCAGGGTTAGTGGACTTTTATCATCCTTCTATCCTTGACACTGATAAGAGTCTGAGATTTAGCTAGAATCTCAAGTAGATGCAGTCAGTTTTACAAATTTTCTGAATGACCATACTGCTGCTGCTCCCAAGCCCTCCATCACTTATTTACTCAGGTGTGGACTTTTATCATCCTTCTATCCTTGACACTGATAAGAGTGTGAGATTTAGCTAGAATCTCGAGTAGATGCAGTCAGTTTTACAAATTTTCTGGATGACCATACTGCTGCTGCTCCCAAGCCCTCCATCACTTATTTACTCAGGTGTGAATATTGTTGGTTATATTGCACAGAGAAAAAACTAACTCCTTTGGTCTAAATGATTTGGACAGCTTTTTCCAATAAACATTTTTCCTAGAGCTAAGTAGAATGTTCAAATGATCTCTGTGTGTGAGTGTACAGATCTTCCTTCTAACTGAAAATACTTACAGACAGAAGTAAGATGAGATAGATTCTCTCCCAACTTGAGAAGGATTCAGAATCCTCAAAGGTTAACAGAGTGTACAGATCTTCCTTCTAACTGAAAATACTTAATGACAGAAGTAAGATGAGGTAGATTCTCTCCCAACTTGAGAAGGATTCAGAATCCTCAAAGGTTAACAGTGTAAAATGCACATAGACCCAAGTATATACCGAAGAATTGAAGCAGGCTAGGGGGTTGTTGCATACTAGGATAACTGATGACTTAGGCACATTTTATCTAAATTTTAAACAGGAATATTTGTTTCGACTCACCGTCTCCTATTTCTTTTTTTCTTCCACTCCTAAGAAATAGGAGCAGCACAGAATCCCTTAATAAATGTCTTGGCCTTGAGTCTGTAAAAGATGGTGATTGAGCTCATGACATGGTTAATTGTCATCAGTAGCTGTCACACAGAAAGGGTGTGGTGTTTAAGTGAAAGCGAACTTATTTGTAGAAGTTGACAGCTAGTTTGCATCCTTTGCTTGTATTTTCTTCTCATGAAGTTTAGTTTGGTTAGATGAGGATGCCATTCTTGTTTTAAATTCTGACTTCTAAATACTGTGTTGCCGAATTTAGTCAGATGAGGGGCTGGGCATTATTCACTTAAAAAGGTAAACATAGTCTTTGAAAGCATGTGAATTGGCTTACTTTGGGGGGTAAACAGGCAAGACAAGATGTGGATTATGAAACTTCCTACCATGACATGATATGACTGTAAGCCACTCATCTCCAATGGGAGACAGTGTAGAGGTGCAGGCCTGTTTCTCTCATGATACACCTGTTAGAGACTCCTACACAGGAACAAGCATTTACAGTTCTTAAGAGCATGGAAGAGCCAGGCGGTGGTGGTGCATGCCTTTAGTCCCAGCACTTGGGAGGCCAAGGCAGGCGGATCTCTGTGAATTTGAGACCAGCCTGGTCTACAGAGCTAGTTCCAGGACAGGCTCCAAAGCAATACAGAGAAACCCTGTCTGAGCTCATGACATGGTTAATTGTCATCAGTAGCTGTTTGTCACACAGAAAGGATGTGGTGTTTAAGTGAAATCGAACCTATTTGTAGAAGTTGACGAGCTAGTTTGCATCCTTTGCTTGTATTTTCTTCTCATTAAGTTTAGTTTGGTTAGATGAGGATGCCATTCTTGTTTTAAATTCTGACTTCTAAATACTGTGTTGCCGAATTTAGTCAGATGAGGGGCTGGGCATTATTCACTTAAAAAGGTAAACATAGTCTTTGAAAGCATGTGAATTGGCTTACTTTGGGGGGTAAACAGGCAAGACAAGATGTGGATTATGAAACTTCCTACCATGACATGATATGACTGTAAGCCACTCATCTCCAATGGGAGACAGTGTAGAGGTGCAGGCCTGTTTCTCTCATGATACACCTGTTAGAGACTCCTACACAGGAACAAGCATTTACAGTTCTTAAGAGCATGGAAGAGCCAGGCGGTGGTGGTGCATGCCTTTAGTCCCAGCACTTGGGAGGCCAAGGCAGGCGGATCTCTGTGAATTTGAGACCAGCCTGGTCTACAGAGCTAGTTCCAGGACAGGCTCCAAAGCAATACAGAGAAACCCTGTCTCGGAAAAAAAAAAAAAAATTAGAAGAGTGAGACAATCATTTCCCTTTGTGTTTACCGTTTTTTGAAAGCAGAGGGAAAAAGGTCAAGAAATGTTTAAGCTGTTAAATGATTAGGGCAATTGCGACTTGGGAAGGTGTAGTATGTAGTAAGAATGTAGTTCAAGACAATTTCTAGATTGCCTTTAATAGTCAAAGGCTTGAGGATGTAGCTCAGTGGTAGAAAATTTGTCTTTCATTCATGAAGCCTTGGGATTAATCACCAATACTATACAAATGTATTCAAAATTCTATAGCAAAATCCAGAACAATGTAGATAGTAATGGTGTCAGCCAGCTTGCTCCTTGAGTCTTAAGTTTCAGTTCCATCATGATAAGATATGGGTCAGGACAGCACCTGAATGTTAGGGGACTGTTCCCAGTTGTGGCTGCTCCATTGAGCTCTATTCAGATAAAAGCTTGTTGCTTCATCTGGTAACTGCCTTTATCTACTCTTCCTGGGCTTATTATTCAGGTATCTAAACTCTGAATAGTAAGTCTTAGCCATTTGCTTTATTAAATATAACATATTTAGTAGTATGCTTTCTCAACTTTTAAGAGTATGTCACATAGTTAGTGCTCAATAGATAGTTCCTTATTCCCTTTTTGATTAATAATTGGAGTAATTCTTGGGATATCTTTATTTAACTAGACACTTCTGTGTTAGTTTTAGATTTTTGGCTACATAATTATATGAGCACCACATACGTGCCTGGTGCCTGTGGAGGATCTCCTGGAACAGTTGAGTTACAGATGGCTGTAACTACCATGTGGGTGCTGGGAACCGAACCCTCTGCAAGGACAGTCAGAGCTCTTAATCTCTAAACCATCTCTCCAGTCCCTCAGGATATTTCTAATAGCTTCTTTTAAGATCTCTTCTGCCTCACCCATGCTTTTTTCTGTCTTGATAGTATTACCTCTGAGGACAAGAAATCAAGTAGTTTTCACTGAATTGCTATCTTGTAGAGGTCTTGAACAGAGCCAGCTTTGCTTGCTCTTTATTTAAATTAGTAAGTAATGTGGTTCAATCAAATGTCTCTATTTAATGATAGCCTAACTGGAAAAGGTAGCGTGCATTGAGAATAACAGGGACAGTAGAATGCCTGAGAGAGAAAGGAGAGGATGAGAAGGGCAAGCAAATGAATAGGGAACTGAGAAAATGAAAGGGTTCTTACTTACTCTGGTGTCACAGCTAGTGGTGGAAGCGGTAAATCCATGCTGGCTCCAGGGACTGCACTTAGTCACCCTGCTGGGCTGCAGCATGGCCCCTCGGTCCCTTAGCTGCTTCTGGACTGAGGCCACATTTGTTTTCTTCCCACTTCTCTTCATGACAAACTCCTTTCAGTTTTTTAATCTGCTTTCCATAAACATCTCCATTATTCCTTAAATTTTTGGACCTTCAGCTCTTGTTAAACTCATCCAAGTCAATCTGAATACCTCACATCCAAGTCAATCTGAGCACAAGGGTATTTTACTAGGTCAGCATATGTATCTGTTATTCTCAGCTCATGGCATCCACCAACCTATTAATGATCCTTCCTAGCCATGTGTTCACAGATGAAGCACTGAGCTGCCACAAGGCTGTCTCCATATGGAAAGGAAGCTAAAAAGAGGAAGTTTGTTGCAATGTTGACAAGCCAAGTGCAGAAATGGTCAGAAGACTGGAGGTGTGTGTACTCCATTGTGATGCAGTAATTAGCACGTATCATGTTTTTGATGAAGTTGAGGAAGGCACACATGAAGGAAACTTACAAAGCCAAGAGCAGAATCCCCCGGGTACAAGCAGCTCAGCCAGATGTGGTCATAGTCAAGAACTTATAAATGCCTTTTTCAAGGAGTGTTTCTGACACCTGGATGGCTGCAACTGACTCGTTGACAAAGTTTTGGGTTTTTTCAGATTGTTTTGTTTTTTTTTTGTTTTGAGACAGGGTTTCTCTATGGCTTTGGAGGCTGTCTTGGAACTAGCTCTCGTAGACTAGACTGGTCTGGAACTCACAGAGATCCTCCTGCCTCTGCCTCCTGAGTGCTGAACTTTACCTGTGACCACTGACATTTGAATTTCCTGTGTCATAAAATATTTCTTCTTTTAATCCTCTCTTCCAGCCGTTTGCCTATACAGAAACCACCTGAGCTTATAGGATGTGCATAAGCAGGCAGTGGGCTGATGTTGAACTATGGGGGCCACCACCACCTGGCCAAAGATTTTTTTTTTTTTTTATCCAGACAAATTCTCAGTAAAATATTCAGTTTGGGAGTTTTTGCCATATACTTTTAGTGCTATCCTTATTTCCTTTTAGATTTTCAAAAGCCATAAAAAAATAGCCATAGTACATGAAGTAATTTATTGATATTGGTTAAGACTCATTATATACAGGTAGAAACCATCAAAATTGTACAAAGAACCATTAAGAATATAGATACTGTTTTATAGACAAAACAACTGGAAAATATTTTAAACAGACAATATATAATTATGAAAAAAAGGAGAACACAAATTGTTCTACCAGACAGATTACAAGGTTTTTAAAAGTCTGCTGTGCAGATTTTAAGTTGAAAAAATCTGTTCAATGTAGTCACAGAGTTTTAAAAACATTAGGTATAAGGCAAAATGAAATATTTTTCTCTCATGGTGAAAAAAAGAGGAACCATGAATCTATACAGTTTGAAAAATAATTTATATATCTAGCTAGCACAAAGAAAGGAAATTGAGACAGCGAATGGTTCTGTAAACTATGTATTTATGAAATGCAAACTGTCAGCTTTAGAAATTAGAAGCAGAACAGCCAGAAATAGACTGTTCCCTTTATGGTACCACCACACTTCACGGGCTTGTGACCCGAGCACCAAAGCTGAAGGTCTATGTGCTGTCTTGGCAAGCTATCCTGAAAATTATCAAGAAATTAAAACTAGCCTACTATCATTGGGAAAATTAGGCACCAAGTTGGAGGCTGTCTCCTCTGAAATGCCCCCTCAGTGGGATGGGAGGGTACTCCTCAGTTAAGCAGTTGGCAGATCTCCTTGTGGACACAGCAGAGGAAATCCACGTAAGATGATCCTCCATAGAGTCCTTTATCTTCCACCAGGAACTGTCGGAAAACCATCTCCCGCTGCTCTCGCTGCTTCACGATGATGAGCTGGCAAAACCCAACAACAGCTGGTTAGCTATGCATCCCGAATTTGGTCCAGCAATTTCCTCTGATCCAATCCTACCAAAAATGGTAGGGGTGATGATATCAGCATGCCTGATTCTGTAGGTTTTTTTTAAAAAGCCGTGTGTGTGTGTGTGTGTGTGTGTGTCTGTGTGTCTGTGTGTCTGTGTGTCTGTGTGTGTGTGTGTGTGTGTGTGTCTGTGTGTGTCTGTGTGTGTGTCTGTGTGTGTGTCTGTGTGTCTGTGTGTAAATGTACAAATCAGTAATCAGTGTAGATGCCCAGTGAGTCCAGAAGAGAGGGTGTCAGATCCCCTGCTGGAAGAAATGTACAAATCAGTAATCAGTGCAGATGCCCAGTGAGTCCAGAAGAGAGGGTGTCAGATCCCCTGCTGGAAGATTTATCAGCAGTCATGAGTCACTGGGAACAGAATTTGGGTCTTCTGGAAGAACAGTGTGTGCCATTTCTCCAGCTCCAGGCCTATTACTTAGGAGAGGAGAGAGACACTAACATTTAAACCACAAAGACAATTTTAAGTGGCAAATTCGGAAAGTGAAAATTTACAGTAAGTAGGGTGCAATGGGAAAAAAATTCACAATAGTGATCACTGTCCGCTAGGGGGACAGTGTCTCAAAGGACAGGGGGGGGGGTCAGATTTGTATATACTGTATCATATTACAGAGATACAGAGACAGCTGGCATGCAAAATATTACAGACATTTAAGAAGGTAGTAAGGGATTAGAGACGACTACCATTATCATGAGTTTGGGCCTTTTGTAGGACATGGTATATGAAAGGGTCAAGAGGTAGCAGCAGGTACATTAGTGAGATGACTGTCACTAGCCAGGGAATGGCTACAAGTGTAAGTGGGAGGAGGCCAGAATACCAATAAGGGAAGAGATGAAAAGGAGTAGATAGGAGAAAGGGACTAACGCAGAACCGCTGCTGGTCCTGGCAGCAGACTGCACTGCCCTTAGTGTAGCCACCGCCGTGTACTGATGTCCTAATTGGCATGTGCTATAAATACAAGAATCAACAGATTTAGAACTCTCCATGTAGTTTATACCGATCCCAAGTGTGTGCTTCTTGAGACTTTAAGGTTTGGTGACGTTTGTCTGCCAATGCTGGAGAGTGAGTGCCGTGTGAGTACCTGAGCTTCTCTCCAGCACCAGACCCTGCCTTTGCATAGTGCCCATACAGCATGGAAACAGTTCTGGAATGTCGAGTGTTCATCCAGATGCCTAGAGACTGTGAAACTATTATACCTCCATTTACCTCGGCTCTACCTAGAGTTGATATCTGCACACCCGAGTTACTCAGTGATTAAGATTGTTAAGAATGGTAACCAGTTTGCCTTTCAAGAGAAAACTGGCCTCATGGTAGCCTGGGCCATGTGAGGCCTGCATCTAAAGGAGGGGGTGCAAGCATCTTAGACTTGGCAGCAATGTCTAATCTTGGATTCTAGGCATGATTTTATTCAAACAGGAAAAAACAAAATGGTTGAGGGTAACTATAATTGTCAAATTTTTCAGATACAGGACAAAACATTTTACAAATGTTCTGAATAATAGTTCTATGATTACACAACACTAGGCACGAAAAGGAAAGATTTCAAAGATTGCTAAAGACAGCAGTTGTTTTTACACCACAAGGAAGGCCTTCATGATCACTAAGTTGCTATCTGGTAAGATAAACCATGGTCAAAGCTGTTTATTCTTCTGCGCCTAATAAGTAGACAGACAAATTCAGAGGTGGAATTTTTCTATCAAGGACCGTTTAAAAGATTTCTGGCAAAATAAATGCTTGAAGGAAGAGGGAAAATCTCGTTTTACCTTCATTGAGTATGGCTTCTTGTGCTGGATATTGTTCATTATCATTCGGAGTTGTTGAGAGGGTGGACTTCCCACCTCGGGCAGTGATGTCTACAGGGAAGAGCACAATTTCAGTACGACTTGAGACACTTAGAGCAGAAGCAGCAACACAAGGTCACTAGGCTGCTGAAACCGTCCTGCTAATGCTACAGAGACTGTTGGCTCAGGACATTTACCTGAAAACATGGGAAACTGAACTATCAATTACTCATTCTCGTACATTTCCACCAATGAACCAATGATCTCTTTTGGAAATACAGATCAACACTGTAATGCAGAGGGTAGCTTTGGACCATCTCTCAGGAAGGTGATTAAGCCCTTTCAAGGCCATAGTGGGAGAGAAAAGGATGTCTCTTTCCCTTTACCTTGTTTGGGAAGTGCTACAGAGTTCCAACATTAAAGTAACCAGCATGTGCCGATTTTCCCAAGGAAATGCTACCTCTTCCATGACAACTGCGTAGTTTGCAAAACAGCACAGCTTCACTTGGAGTTCTTCATGTAAGAAAACATAGGATGCTAATGCTGCCTCCTCAGTGAGACGATACCAAGATCCAATCAACACGTGAGTTAGCCACCAGGGAGTATAAGGATGCATGCCGGTAAAGACTCTAATCTTAGGGGAAAGAATATGGCCAATGTATTTCACAGGAGTTCTGAGGAGGGCAGATCATCTATCACTAATGCCCACACTCCATTCCTTGTGTGTTTTATGGCATTATAGTGGATCATTTTATTCAAGAAATAATATTAAGTATATAACACATATCTCAGTTGCCAAATGAGTTTAAAACTAAAGTAATTTGGGGTTTGGTTTTGTTTCATTTTTTTAAAAAAAATGGTGAGGAGGTATGATTATCAAAGTGCAAACCCTAGACTCTTGCTCTATGGTGGAGAGACTCCCTGTTAGGGCCTGCAAGGAAGTTTGCAGCAAACGTTAACTCTCACATTGGTGCTGAGTTTTCCTAAGATATTTGAAAATAGGTATTTTCAACACAGTTCCTTTTGTCATGACTTACAGAAGGGGAGAGTTAGGGTTTAAGGTAGGATTGGGGACACAATTTGCTTTTGTGATTTTTATTATGTGCCTCATTAATCTTAGTATATAGCAAAATATCTCTGAACAATTCTGAATTTTCTCAAACAGGCAGTTCAGCAGCAAGGATGAAGACACCGGGAGTTGAAAACTAAATGCAGTCTCTACCTCTGACCTTATCACCTGCAAGAACCTGGCCCTAGTTCATCGGAACATACAGCTGCAGCATCTACCCACTGATGTGTCAAAAGAATGAAACAGAACGGTGGGTTTAAAGTACATATGGCCAGTAGCCACTGGCAGACAGCAGGGAGTCTGCAAGTGTTGTCAGTGGGTGTGTACCGTGTGTGTGTGTGTGTGTGTGTGTGTGTGTGTGTGTGTGTGTGTGTGTGTGTCTTCCTATTTCTGTGTATAAATGTGTTTCTCTCTGTATGTCACATATGTGCAGGTGCCCATGGAGGCCAGAATAGATATCAGATCCCCTAGAGCTGGTGTCATGGGCCACTATAAGCTACCTTATGTGGATGCTGGGAATTGAACTCAGGTCCTCTGCAAGCATTCTTAACCACTGAGCCATCTCTCCAGACCAATATATCATCAGTTTCTATTGAAGCTATGTTTAGTTTAACACTTCAGTAAATTACCTGACATTTTCTAGTTTTTATTCATCAAAATATGATTCTCATATATTACTGGTTTTCTTTGTATCATAAAATTGCACATAAATTTTAAGAATTCATATTTGTATTTTACCATAAAAATTGAAAAATACCTACCATGTCTGTGTTGATATGTGCAAATGATGGCACATTAAATATTCCTTGAATCAGATCTGGTGGGCTACTCACTCCGAGCCATAAGAACATGTTCAGACCATTAGCCAGTAGGAACATTCCTTCTTCGGAGAGTCGGGACTCGGAGCAGCGGACAGCAGCCGGCATCCCTGTGCTTTTCACATCTAATGTGTGCTGTTTGGGCAAAGTGAGGAGCTTAGGAATCTGCTCCTTTCCCACTTTTCATTTCCTTTCTCTTCGCCCTGTCCCTCCCTCACAGCACACAGTTAATTAAAACCTACTTGGCATAGACAAGAATCTCGGCCTTGGTTGGGCGTTGGTGGCACACGCCTTTAATCCCAACACTCGGGAAGCAGAGGCAGGCGGATCTCTGTGAGTTCGAGACCAGCCTGGTCTCCAGAGCGAGTGCCAGGATAGGCTCCAAAGCTACACAGAGAACCCCTGTCTCCAAAAACCAAATAATAATAATAATAATAATAATAATAATAATAATAATCCCGGCCTTGTACAGCTAATGGCCTTTTGGAGGAAGACAAATGACATAAAATAAATAAATATACATAATTGTAGATGATGCTAACGGCTATGTGGAAAGCAAATGGTAAGTAGCATAAGCGTTTGTGGTGAGGGCAGGGTAGCTAGGAAGGCTTCTCTGGCAACAGTAAATTTTGAGTAAAGCTACCCGAGGAGGTAGGCAAAGGCAAGGAGCTGAGCCTGGGGAAATCTAAGGAAGAGCGTTCCAGACACAGAGAAAAATTTAAGCAAAGATCCTGAGGCAACAGCCTGACTAGGGTGTTTGAGGATCAGCAGACGGACTCGTGCAGCTAGCTGAAATGAGAGACTTGGCTAGAAAGGAGCTGAGAAGGGACAGCACTGGACCAGAGCTGCCCTGGACTGGCCTGAGGAGAGAAGAGGTGGGCTGCTGCCTCACTCTGCCCTGACCTCTGAGCTACAAGCAGACTGAAGAAGAGGCAATGGTGGGAACAAGGAGAGTCACTAGGCTGAGACTGCAGGAGCACAGTGAAGACAATGCTTGAGTTCGGTGGCAATACACTGTGGACACCCCAGGAGAGCTGGCCTGTTTGCTGACAGTAGGTATGGTAGAGAGAAAACAGTGAGGATAGCCAAGACTTTCCTCCCAGAAGGCAGGAGGAGGGGGCGCTGTGGGAGAAGCCTTCCAATGCCTGCTACATTATCTGGAGACAGGGATGTGCGGCCATTAGTGAACAAATGACATCTAAAGCCCAGAACACAAGGACCTCTAAGGGATCGAATGAAGGTAAGAAAGAAGCTTCCCAGAGGCTTTAGTTTCTGACCTCTTTGATCCATCCATTGCTGGCAACCCAAGTTTATGTGACAATCATTTGAAAGAATTTGTTTCTTCCCCTGGCATCTAACACAATTTATCACCGAGTGCCTTATTGCTGAGTGCCTACTGTTCTTACCGCTAAGACTAAGGAGGAGTTGCATGCAATCATCCAGCCTTCTAGATCTCTGAGAAAAAGTCCAGGCAGGGTGCCTGGGCTTCAAAATATTAACAATGCCTCAACAAAGTGGAATACACTGACATGTGAACCCTTGAGGACAAGGGCAGCTGGGCTCTTGCATGGCACAGGTATCCCCAAGTGCTCACTCAGGTCCCTGACTACATTTGCGAAACACCAGTCTGAATAAACTTGGTGACTCCTAGACACTCACTCGTTAGATGAGAAGGGATCATTCACACCTGCACAAGATTCCCCCAGCACATGTGGAAGTGGTCTTGTGTGATGTGCAGTTTGATTGAAGTTTTCTGGCACCCACATGTTTACAGACTTCTAAGAGTGCCTACACAATTGATTATTACCAATTTAAGAATGGCACAGAAAGGAAAGTAATCTGAACAATTCAGGGAAACCAGACTCCCTACATCCTTCCCCAGGCACACTGAGCACACGCAACTCACTGAGAGAGCTTCTACTCTGAGCCCAGACTGCATGTTTTGACTGAATTTCTTAGAAACAAGAACCTACCCTGCCAAATAGCTCTAGGGAACTCACAGTCATCGCACACTTACTATTGGCAGGAGCTGTGGATAGAAGAAGAGCTGGGTGTCAGCCACACCCATGGTCATGACCAGCTGCCGTTGGTATGCCCGTTCATCAGGGGAGATCTCTGGTCTGCTGAGCAGCACACTGTTTTTTAACAAACAGTTCATGTACACAGGCAGTACTTTCATAGAATCTGGCAGTATAAGCTGAAAGAGAAAACATTTGTTTCATGAGCATGTCCTATTTTTAGCTTTCTCTTTTTACACCTGAATATGTGTGTGTGTGTGTGTGTTTGCATGTGTGCAATTATGTTATAAATTTTATTTATTTATTTATTTATTTATTTATTTATTTGGTTTTTCGAGACAGGGTTTCTCTGTGGCTTTGGAGGCTGTCCTGGAACTAGCTCTTGTAGACCAGGATGGTCTCGAACTCACAGAGATCCGCCTGCCTCTGCCTCCCAAGTGCTGGGTTAAAGGCATGTGCCACCAACTCTGGCTATATTTACTTTTAAAAGAGCCATTGTTACTACTGCTGTAAGTTCATGGCAACATTTTATATGCCTAAAATGTAAAGCATACACATTTCACAACAAAATATCTAGGTCTGAATACAAAGAGAATCCTGTTTTATTATAACATTCCTCTGTTTAGAACAGTGTAGTTGTGACTGTCACATTTTTGGTTCAGACACTTTGTTAAACCCAGCTTCTTTTTTTGATGTTGGCTACAAAGACACATACATCCCCTCCCACCCCAGGTGCATCCTTAGTTTCCTTGACTGCATGCTCTCTTTGGAGCATCTGGCTGCAGCAGCTGCACACACTTGCTCTGCACATGCTGGCTGCTCAGCATAGTAGAGAACTCACCTGGCTTGCTGCAGATGGACTAGCACAGTGCTTCCGGTAACACGCCAGCATGTGGGCAGTCTGATTAACTAGAATTTCCCGGATGACTTTCAAAGGCTGGTTCAAAACTGCTTTAAAAGCTAGGAGCACAAAATCACAAATAGAAAGGACACGGATGCTTTAGAAACCGATCTCTTCAAATAATAACAAAGAACAAGTTGCTGGTATCTTGAGACAACCAACAAGAATAAGGTTCTTGCTGCTGGCCCTCTTTTCAGTAAATAGGATGATCCAGGCAACGAAGGACAGTAGTCTAATTACAGCTAAGGGTTACATGACCCATATTTATCTTGAAACTACTGGAAATAGAATTCTATTCACAGAAAAGACAGCCCAGCCTGTTGTCTGCCAGGGCCCTGACTTCTTCAGGCTGATATGCTGTCCTCCATACCTTAAGTATAGAATTTTCAGGGAAGCCAAAGAGATCACCACTGCTTCTCAGTGGTCAGGGCACAGATAATCAACATTGGTGCAAGTCACCAGTGCTAGAGGGCACACTCGCACACTCTTAAATTTCATCTTCTCCTCCTTATTAGCAAGGAAACTTAAGGCAGATCTGTGCGGCCTGGCCCTGGAGAGGCTTGTCACTCATTACAGCTGGTGGCACTAACCATTCTTCAACCTTTGACTTTACTGGTTCTTGTACCACTATGTATTTTCCAGCTTCTGACTAGTTAACCAAAGAGTCTTGACTGAATCACTGAGCGAGGAGATTAACAAGATGCTACCTGACTTGGCAAAGAAGTTGATAAGGGCATCTGTTTCACAGCTCTTGTAGAGGTCTGCTAGCTGGGTGCTGCAGTTTAAGGCAAGATTGTGGATCCGAAGTCGTCGCTGGCCACCGATGGTCGTGTAGAGCACAGCGCACTACAGAGGAAACATTTGAGACCTGGGCATTGCTGAGCCAGAGCCACACACACAAGCAGTCTGATTCTGTTTGCACACATAGCACAGAGGCTAAAACGGAACCCTATATGCTAAAGTTTTAGCCCCCAGCACCCCAGAATGTGACTTCACTTGGAGATAGGACCTTTATTTTTAAGATTAATATTAACTACAACATTTCCCCCTCCCCTTTCCTCTCTCCAAAATCCTCCATATTCCACCCTTTCACACTCTCCTTCAAAATTCATGGCTTCTTATTTCACTAATTGTTACTGTGTGTATGTTTATGTATATACTTATTTATTCCTAAGTACAATCTGTTTAGTCCATAGAATGTTACATGTATGTATGTTTTCAGGGCTGATCGTCTGGTACTGGACAACCAACAGATGTGCTCTTCCTTGGGGAAGACCATGGAGAGTAGCACATTTAAAAGGGTAAATTAACTAAAATGAACTAATTAGGGTGGGGCCATATGACTGCAAGAACCTTGGACACAGACACTTCTCGGGAACCAGTTTGCTGACGCCTGACACTTCACATAGGTTGGCTGGGCTAATGATTGCCAAGTCGCATTAAATAGCATATATTATCAACCTATGGGTGAACCACACAAGAGTAACCTAAGGGCTCCTGCTTTGGAGAAAGAGAATTGAGTTTTGTTAGGAAGAGAGTAGCACATTTGGCATCATGTAACAAAGGCCAGCATGGGGGCTGGAGAGATGGCTCAGAGGTTAAGAGCACTGGTTGCTCTTCCAGAGGTCCTGAGTTCAATTCCCAGCAACCACATGGTGGCTCACAGCCATCTGTAGTGAGATCTGGTGCCCTCTTCTGGCCTGCAGCCATACATGCAGTCAGAACACTGTATACATGATAAACAAATCTTTAAGATGTGGTCACCTGGATCAAGGCTCCAGCATCCTCACTGAGCTTGTCATCATGCTTGAACTCGACAGTCACGGCCTTATCGCAGTCGATGGCTGCCATTTCTACATCCGTGGTGTTGTTCATAAATATTCCACCAAAGAAATCAGTGGCCCTAAAACCTAAAGTACAAGAAGAAAGGCAAATTTGAATTCTGCTGTTCTTTGTTGTGTTGTTATTTAAAGAGAAAATAATTATGCAGAAGAGATGTGAAATGATGCGGATGATAATTACCTGTGCTGGTACGAACCCTCATAATAGCATCGAAGCCTATTTTCTTCTCAATATCATTTCGGAGGTCATTCAAAAACTGTTGGCTATCCAAATTAACCTAAAAGATAAAATATGATCAGTGGCCACCAGGTGGCAGTAAAAGACTTCAAATACTGTTACTTTTCATTGATTTTTTAAAAAAAATAATTATTTTTATATTTTCATTTAGCACACTTACATGTACATCTTATGTACGTATATAATCTTGTGAAAATACTCAAAGTTAAGTCCCTAAATAAAATCCTTATCTATCTTTTCCATCTTCATGTGCACACACACACACACACACACACACAGAGATTCCTATCCCTAATCCCCAAAACAGAAGGGGAAAAGAGGAAAGGAACAGTTATCACAGACAGTCCTCGTAAAGGTGCTGCAGTACACACCAGAAGTCTGACTGTGTTCCTGACCATCATTCTCATCCGGCAATATTATTTAATGGAAGACACTATTAAAAGTTTTACTTTTAAAAGCAAAGAAGGAGATGCTAAGATATGATTCAGGTCTACAACAACGCACATAAAACCTGAAGTGAATTCATACTAACACTGGCTATAAAATGTTTTACTCACTGAATGTGCAGACTGTTTTCTTCTATTGGATTATGACAGCACTTATTTTTTAATAGCATTAATGGGATCAATAATGAACTTTAGTATGTTGACAAACAAAGGGCTCTTATCAAACACTACACAGAACTAGCACACTACTAAGGGAATGATATCAACAGTGGTGAAGCCTTTTGTCAACACTGCCCTTGGCCTCTGTGCTAAGTCACTCTAATGAAGATAGCCTCACTCATGTGGGACCCCAGCCAGGACTTTGCTAAGAAGGAACCAAAGATGGAGGTCTCTGATCAAATGTATTTCCCTCACTAGAGAGTAAGCTGAGACAGTCTCAGTGTGCCTCAAACACCCAGGATTCCAACCAGATGATTGATTTTATCATTTTAAGACCTTACGTTCTAGTGTACCTGCAATGACATGTTTATCCAGAAGTCTTCAAAAGGCTCTCACAGCCTTTTTAAATGGATTTCACTTTCATTCTTTGGTCTTACTAACCCTCTTACTTAACTTCCACATACATATGTAACTAGGTGCTGCTTTCACTCCTTAGCTAAATCAGCATGAGCCTTTGTCTTCTGTTAGAAACCAGCCCTGTATGATCAGCTGCCCTATGGAGCACAGACATCAGTGGCCTGGCCCTGGGTCCTCCTGGACAAGCGCCCATTCTCTGTGCCTAAATACAGTAAGACTTCAGGGCACAACAGTCCACAAGAGAAGCTGGTGACTGTGCCTATCCTAAACTGGGGGGTATGCCTTCACCTAAGTCAGGAGAGGCACGTTAGTCCAATGTGAAAGAGTGGGGTGTAATGAACTGAACCTGCCTCAGATTTCAATAAATTAAAACAAACATGCAGTTACGTTTTCAAACATCACAGCTCACATTAATATTCAACTCTGGGGTAGTGTGAGCCCAATGTGTGGCCAAAGTCAATCAAACACACACGGTTTTACATCTACCAAATTTACTTTTGCTAGTTGTGCACAACCTGATACAACTTTCTTAATCCATGAACTACTCAACCAACTTCAGCTGGGCTGGGGAGATGGCTCAGGCCTTAAAAACACTTGTGCGAGCCTAATGTGTGAGCCTAAGGACTTGAGTTTGGTTTTGACCCACAAGTAAAAACACAGACCAACAACAACGGACAGGTGGGGTAGCTTGAAGCTGTAATCCCAGAACTCCTATGGCAAGACAGGAGGCAGAGACAGGAGAATTCCCAGAAAGGTTGCTGGGCTACTAGCCTAGGGCAGCGCACAGTACACAAGAAGAAACAGGGAAGACTCTACCTCAGCTGGATGGAAGGAGGGAACTGACGCTTGAAAATCCTCCATGAACACCAGGAGCTCTCAGTGATACAGGTACACCTGCATGCACATGCACACGCGCGCGCACACACACACACACACAAACACACACACACACACACAAACACACACACACACACAATCTCCTCCCCATACACACCAGAGACAGAGAGAGAGAGCACCAGGGAGATGGAGAAAGAAAGACAGAGAGAAAGTATATTTTAAGGCAATATTCAAAATTCAAACAGGAGGAAACGCTGAAGAACAGATGGCTTGCCACTTACCCGAAAAACATTGTACTTGTACAGAGTTCCTCCGGTGAGCAGAGGAACCAGCCCCAAGGAAGCCACGTCCACATACTGACTGGGAAAGAGGAAGAGAGTCACCGAGCAGCTATTGGCCACACAGTCCTTGGCCAGAGACTCATAGACAGCTGTTTGGGGCTGAAAAAGTATCTGAGGAAATGGATAAAGAAATGAAAAGTTATGTAGCATTTCTTCATTAAAATTTAAGTTTCTGTTAAAATTTTTAATTGGAAATTTTAAATGGGGAAACTACGGGATTTCTCCCTCCAGTTAAGTGGACTGGGCTAATAAAATAGTTGGTTGCCTTCACGTTATTTGATACTCTACCACCCCTAATGGGACTATCCCTGCCCCATCCTTAGTGCATAGGCCTGATGCAGCTCCATGGATTGGAAGGTACTGTGTGGCTGAGAGGTGTGCACCGCAGTCAGATATATCTTCCATCCCTGGAGACTGTTCCTGGCTGCAGACTGTCTTGGGTTTGTGCGACGGCCCCTTTTCAGCATGTGGTACCTTTGCTTCCTGACAAGTATCTCTTCCTCAGGAGAGTGATGCCACAGTGCATCTGCATCCGCTTTCCCTCTCTGTGTTCTCTTCTTCATGAAACCCTCTCCTTCCGTTTCTTTAAAATTCTCATCTTACATAGATTACCCATGGAAGAAGTGTCAGTTTAGATACGTCAGCTATCAGCTTCTCTAGAGTTCAAAATACTCATGAAGTGTAGAGCCCCTTTTAATAACACTGCAGTGGCGAGTAACCACTCCCGGGTACCTTCTCTTTGTCTGTGTTAAGCAGCTTTTTATCATCTCTGTTCTTGAGCTTTCCCGGTGCCTCTGCAGTAGGCAAGGAGGAATGGAAGATGAATAGCTTCCCAGGGCACTCTGCTGCCTAAAAACATCAGACAAAAGGTTTGGTTGTTAAGGTTTTATTTTATGAGTATCATAAATGTATGAAAACCCACCTCGCTCCAGTCAGAAAGGTAACAAAGAAAACATAGAACACACTACTGTTGAGGATGGGGACAAAAGGGACCTCTTGCATGTCTCTAGAAGGAATGCCAGCCAGCCAAGTCAGTATGGAAAGCAGTGTGGAGGTCCCTCCAGGAACTGAAGAACAACCATATTGTGAGAATGAGTTTTCCAAGAAATACTACTTTCACCCAACCTGGAACCAAGTTAATAATGTGCTTGGAGATAATTTATCATGATATATTCATTCTGATTACATACTGTGTACTCAGCCTGTTCAGAATAAACTGACCTTTGAGAAAACAATGTAACCAATCTTTCCTTACTTTGAACTCCCTGATATAACATGTTCACTATTTCTCCTTAGTGACCCATTCATGCCACCGACTCAGGACAATATATGTGTGGGTCAGATGTGGTGGATACACCTAAGACCCTTGATTGGAAGCAGAAAGGCACTGAAATAAACATAAAGAGGTTAAAAAAGTATGTTAGTATAGATCGATAACATGTGGTTGTGGCTGTTCTGGGTCAATAGGGCCAAAAAGGAACTTCCTCTCTTGTGAGACTTCTACAGAAGTCTGATTAAGACTTAAGTTTCTATTTGCTGTGCTGTTCAACGCCTAAAGAGAATGGCCTTTCTCAGAGGACCTGATCAGGTCAGAGCTCTTCAAATCCAATTCAGGCTCACTCTCTGGTAAACAACAAGGGTTAGTTTCTTTTCTTTAATGTGGCATTGTCTTACCTGGTGACAAAGATTACACACATCCCCCCACACACACACACACACTAAGCTCTTCCCTATCCATGTTTATGACAGCACTGTTCACAGCAGTCAAGTAATGGAATCAGTCTATGTGTTCATCACTAGGTGGCCAAGGACATGTAGTCCATATTCACAATTGAATTTCATTCAGCCATAAAGCAGAATGAAATGATTTTCTGGGAAATGGAGATTATCATATTAAATATCATATTAAATTAAATAAGCCAGACTGAGAAAGACAAGTTTTCTCTCATTTTTTGGCTCCTGTGTTTTATATACACACAGAAAGCTAAAACTGCATAGGACATGCTAGCAGAATAGCTACCGGAGAAGGGAAGGAATTGACCAGGGAGAGGAAAGAGAGGATGCATGCAGGAGAAACAGGATGAAGGCAGTACTGTCCACAGTGAGTGTAAGTCAGTAAAGCAGCTGAAACTGCCCACTCCTTTTCAGGAGGTTTGGAACGTTTTTCAGAACTAATGTCCCCAGGAAGAAAACAGCCCATGTTTGTGTCTGGACGGTCACTACCACATTTCCCCTCAAATTTAAATGGCCCTCCCCTTCTGTTGTCTGCTTTGAGACAGTATCTAGTCTTTTACTGTAAAAAGGAAAGTGAAAATCACATCATATGGAGACTTCCTGTGCTAATTGGATCAAACTAAAAATACTTCTCCTAATCACACATTCAGCTCTCAAAAATATAAAGTAAAATGTTTCATGTCTGAGCCACCCAGTTCCCCTACAGAATTCACTGTCAATGTTCTTTGTGCCCATCAGGACATTGTCTAGTCACTGAAGTGCTGAAATTTTGTACTACAACAATCACAGGTCCTAGTCCCCACAGGCTAGGGTTAGAGTCTGAACTGTTGTGTTAGCTCTGTGACTTTAGGACACTTAGCTCCTCTAAGCTTCATTCATGCCCCATATGATATAGACATAGTAACCACAGAACACAAGGGCTGGAAGACTTTGATGGTTCAGTTAATCATAATAAGCATACTTAATTGTCGGATTAAATGAATGGCAGGGCCCTATTCTGGGGCTAGGGAGATGGCTGAAAGGACACATTCAAATGTGAAGACTGAGTCCAGACCCCTACCCTCCCACCTCCCACCCCTCCCCACATGTATAAAAACCTGATAGGCATGCTAGATGCCGCAATCCCAGCACTCAACTGGAGAAACAGAGAAGACTAGCCAAAATTGGCAAGCTCCAGGCGCCTAAGAAACCCTGCTCCAAGGTGGGGATGCAGGAGAGGGAGGGCAGTCTGGGCAGCACACTTAATGTTGATGTAAACTTCAGCCCCCTACACACATGATCACACATATCCTCACATATGTACACATACATACACATGCACATATGTAAAGACATACACAGTAGCTATATTTATTCTTACTCAATCACTTCATTTTAGAGCTGCATCTTCACTAATTACAGACTTATAAAGCACTTTATATCTGGCAAATGGACTATATTCCTACAAAATTTGATGTCTTTGCCAACATTCGATTGTGCTCACAAGAGTGAATCATTCAGAGTGAGGTGAATGGCATATATGCTTCTGACTGCCATAGAAAAGGCTTGCAAAGGGCAGGCCTCAAGAACTCTGTTCAAAATTTATCTTCAATGTTCTTCCCTCTAAGAGACTGGCATTAGAACCACTGACCAGCCAGCTGCCTCTGTCACTGTCTCCCACCCTCTTACAAGCCTCCTGTAAATGACAGGCTCTCTAAAGAAGGATGCTTTTATTTCTCCACCCACATCAGGCCTCTGTCTTTCCCTATTTAAGTGTTCCACATTGTCTGTCAATGGAGTGCCATGATGGATCTTGAAATTGAATGTTGGTATCAATTGTGGATTATCTCAAGGTAGCTTTAACCCCTGTATTCAGGAAGTAATCTATTTCAGGAATAACCATCGACACCTATGTATGTCCAACTTTGTCCAACTCTTTTTTTTTAATTATGTGTTTGAGGGTTTTGCCTGCACTATTTAAGTACTTTGTGTGCACACAGTATCCACAGAGGCCAGGAGAGGGCATAGGACCCACTGTAGTCATGGGCAGTTGTGAGCCACCCTGTAGGTTCAGGGAACTGAACTTGGGTCCTCTGCAAGAGTAGCAAGTACTCTTAACTGCTGAACCATCTCTGTAGCACCCCTTTGTCTAATTCTTATATAGAAGTTTATTTATCAAGTGATTTGACTTAGATAACTGATTTTTGTCAGCTATTCGCATGTAGCTGATTTATGCTTGTGTGAGAGTCTGAAGGAGATAGATTTTACTACATGGCAGGAAAAAGAGGCCGAAATTAGAAGATGCTGTGTGGGCAGAGAACAGCCAAAAGCATCAAGCCCTTAGTTCCAGCACTTCAAGGGCATTTAGGAGCATGCACAGGGCTTTCCAAACAGCCACAGTTTATCTTTGTGACAGATTTACATTGCTTTTTTAATTTTGATCTGTTCTGATGGCTTTAACAAGTTTCTTAATAATAATTCTACACATGTGTGAATTGTATCTACATTGTATATACACATAATTAACATATATATTAGTGGTATATAATAAATAATTAGTAGCATATATAATTATATATGTCTATAAACATATAAAGCTTTTATTTGGTGTCTATCTGGTAGAAAGAAAAGTTGTAATGGGAAGCCCAGTTCTGAAAGCCTTCACAGTAAAACAAGTCCCCACTTTCCCCCTTTTTATTTATTTATTCATTTACTTAAATTAACATTTTTCATTTATTTTACATACCTACCACACACCCCACACCACCCATCTCTCCATCCCCCCACCCACTCTGCCTCCATCTCTGTTCAAAAAGAGGCATACCTCCCATGGGCTTGAACAAAGCATGGTACATCAATTTGAGGCAGGATCAAGCTCCTCCCCCTGCATCAAGGCTGGGCAAGAACAGGCATGGGGAATAGGTTCCCAAAAGCCAGATGAATGCCAGGGACAAGTCCTGATCTCACTCCTAGGAGCCTGTTTCTACTCCCTGCCCATAGTGAATGGGATCACATCTCTGCCCTCTGTACACAATATCCTGAGCTATTGACCAAACCATAGTCCTGGACTTTCCCAAGTTACCCCTGGCCTCCCTACTACCATAAGAACTATGTCTTGTAATACAGAATTAAATCTCTCCTGCAACACTTCATAAAACTTAGGTTCAGGACAGTATGGACTACCTTGCAAAACACAAGAACTTAGTGATTTTTCTTACTGGTTGAAAAGAATTAATGAATAAGTGAAGAGCACTTCTCAACACTGTTTCTCTACTGGACATTCTCAAATGTGTTTGTTAGCTTTTGTTCCAGCTACAGGTGAGAATATTAGAGACTTCTTATGTAAATTGTACTAATTTAAGTCTGATTTTCAGCTACCCAGAACCTGACCTTATAGTCATGAAGTCTTCTGAACAGCAGGTATTAGTTTTTTTTCTCATTTTAAAACATCAACATTTTTGTGCTGGCTAGTTTACATCAACTTGATACAAGCTAGAGTTATCTGAAAGGAGGGAACCTCAGTTGAGAAGATGCCTCCATAAGATCTGGCCATAGGCATTTTCTTAATTGGTGATTGATGGGGGAGGGCCCAGCCAATTGTGGGTGGTACCATCACTGGGCAGGAAGTCTTGGGTTCTAGAAGGAAGCAGGCCGAGCAAGCAATGAAGAGCAAGCCTGTAAACACTGCCTCCCAATGGTCTCTGCATCACCTCCTGCCTCCAGGTTCCTGCCCTGTTTGAGTTCCTGTCCTGACTTCCTTTGATGATGAACGTGATACAGAAGTGTAAACCAAAAAAACCCTTTCCTTGCTAAGTTGCTTTGGTCATGTGTTTCATCACAGCAATGATAAATAACACTGACTAAAGCAATTTTCATATACTTCAAGGATTAATATATTAATAAACAATAATATAACAATAAACTTGTAAATAAAAATTGTAATGCAAAAGATACAAAGACATGAATTACAGTGAACCAGGGTGTCATGAATGGATGGCAGAGAATGCTTTGTGCTATAGTAAGCACTGCATAAGTAACTTCAGACTATATTATTATTGTTATGGACAATGATTTATCAGGATTGACATTAAATTTTAGACATAGAACAGCTTGCCATCATTCACTCATAATTCCTCTCAGATTTAAGCACATACTTAAAATATCACTTCCAGTCTTAAAGCAGAATGATGTGTAGGGCCCTTTACAAATTACCATGTGTGGAGAGATTTACTAAAGAACTTCTCCTGGGAGGGGAGAACATGGACAACAAAGCAAACATTTTAAAGTGAAAAAGAACAGACAGGATTTGGTTTTTTTTATGATGTAGAATATCATAATTCCCAAGGTTTTCTGCTGATCGATGATGGCTTTCAGTAGGGTAGACTCTAATACTGCCAAGTCACTTGTGATAGGAAGTCTACTGTTAGTTTTACATTAAATTGCCAATTATTCTGACTGCTGAAGGACATCCACAACACCATGAGCAAATTCTCCTGATACCAAACCTGACTACTCAGAAATCAGAAAACCTAGACAAGAATCAGGTGCTAGGGTCAGACTATAGAAATAGATGCAACATTTGTGTGGGATCAGTTCATAAGCTCAGCCCTATAGCACCACTAATCCTGTTTGCTTGTATTGTTCTTGTCATGATTACTAGCCATTCTATTTTAAACATTGGTGTGGACTTAACTTTAATAACACAATTTTAAAACTAACTTCAGGAATGATATGTCAAAGCCCACAAGTTTGACCATTGTGCTAAACAAAGAGTGATTAGGAATAGGGTCGCCTGCAAAACATTGCCTTCTTCAGTCCTATGAAGACAAAATGTCATTTGAGCTCAGCTTCTCTAGTGGACACAAGGACAACATCTCCTCCACTTATGACAATCAGTGAGGCCATGAGCATTAGTCATTTCCCTGACACAAACTGTCCCCAGGCCTTGCCTTTGTGTGTTTGAAAACCCCTAGGAAGAAAACATTAGGGGAAGTTTTCTCCTCAAATCTGATAGTTCAGATCATGAAAAGTTCACCTAAAAGCCAAAGAGAGGGGATAAACCGAAATTCTGACAAACAGCTATTCTGATGCTAACAGCACTGGGATGTAAACACGGGGTGTGCTTGTGACTTGGGGTATTTCCTCCTGGAAACTGGGCAAGTTTAGAAACCCTAATGACCTAGGAACTTAATGAAGACTACTTGTTTTTACACACAAGGCTTTCTTTCTTAATCTCTCTGTTATAGAATTTTATCTTCTATCAAGCAGAGGTGGCCATTTCTCACCTTAAGTGCTTCCATGCCAGCCTGGATGACGGGAGCAAAGACTGTCTCGTTTTCGTTAGAGTCAGCAAACATCTCGGGAATCTGGTCCAATAAACTGAGTGGATCAAATGGGGAAAGGGTTTTAAATGCTCTGCATATCTGTCATTAACTTCAGAAGATAAATCACTGATCTCTCAAGCCTGAACACATATGACATTTATTGATGAACAGCATGTGAGAATAATTGCTACCCACAGGGAACAGGCAACCTGATACAGACATTCCTTAACAAAGGATATTTTAGCACAGTCCAGCACCAAAACCTATTCTTTGGATGGAACATTTACTAAATTACCCTCTTTGTAGACACTTTTTGATTCATTATATTACCTATTTATAATACCCAGGACTCTTTAAATAATACTCTATCTTAATATGTACAGTACATGCAAGAAATGCATCCCTTTCATTCCCTTTCCATCAAGGAGAAAGAATTTAAAGGTTGAGAGTGGATATTTTTAAATGATCTACACAGAAAGGGGTAAATCTAACATAAACGACAAGAGTTGTATAATCTATGTCCTAAGCCCCCTGCTATCAACAAAGCCAAACAATATTTGTATCTGAATGGAAACACAATGGGACTTAACACATGCACCTGATTTGCATTTAATTAGAAGATACTTGATATTTACTTGTGAATCACAGATTGAGATTCTTGATAGTTGACAAGGAACCCATCCAACAAAGGAACAAAGACCTCTGAAACATCCGTCACCACCATCATCTGAGGTTGGGCCAAATTACTCTTCACATTAAAGAAGTGGAGAACTTTGTTGTATGTGATAAAACCAACTCGAATTGCAGATGTCTCTTCATGCTCCTCCCTAAGAGAAAAGACAAAGCCGAACTTCAGGCACAAACTCGCACGAACACAGTTTGACTCTTGCTCAAAGGCGATGAAGATGCCTTAGACTTGGGACTTGGGAAAAAATTGCCTTCTTCAGTCTTTTGCATGAATGAAGAGGCTTCTACCTAAATTCAACAACTGTGTCTCCTCTAGAACATAAGAAAGGCATATTTAAAGTTCTGGTTTTAATTTCTATTGACCTTAAAAAGCAATAGTGAATCATGGCAGGAAAGGGTACAGATTACTTAAAAAATAAGCAGGTTGACAAAGGAAAACATTCTCAAAATTCTAGGTCAAGGATTAGATATTATGAAAATACTTCATACATATTTGCTCATGTGTTCCTTTTTCTTTATTTTAACTTTTTGGGGGGTGTCTTTTCAAGATGTGGTTTCTCTGTGAGTTCTTGGCTGTCCTGAAACTCACTCTGTAGACCAGGCTGGCCTTGAACTCAGAGACCCTCCTGCTCTACCTTTCATGTGCTGAGATTAAAGGTGCCCCACTATGCCTGGATTAATTTCAATTCATAGGAAATTAAGACTTTTCAGAATTTCCACAAACAATCTGGGCTTATTCCATTCATATAAAAACATTCTCAGAAGTTACTGAAAAACCAAAACAACGAGACATCTGAAGCAACGGGAGAGAAGGGATGCTCAGTTTACTGATAGGACAGTTATTTGCATCAGGAAAGAATTTTCAGCTAATGTGTGATATTTTTACTGCACATCCTATGAAATCTCAATGTAACAATAGCTAGATTTTTAACACAGAAACATATAACAGCAAGTAAATCGCACATAATATGATTTCTTGTGATGGTCATGATAAGAAGACAAATCTCTAAAAGTATATTAAACAGCATCTTTTCTTAGGAATTCCAAACAAGTTGTTAATGTTCAGGAGGTCTAGAAGAATGAACTGATTCACCTCAGTCTGTAGCAAAGATATTCAGAATTTAGTGGCTCCAATTGCCTGCTTACTGACTGTATTTCTGCCCACTTACAACTGCCTTAGAATAAAATATTCACACCACAGGCACTCTAAGTTCCAATGGCAAACACTACACAGTGCTCAGTGTCTGGATGACAATCACAACAAAGGCATGTTACATCTTCCTTGACTTTCCATTTCAATGAGACCTCCTCTGCTGAGGATGCTTCTCTTCTGAAAAGGAATCCACTCATTTTTGAATTTTCTCCATAACATAAATGATGCTTGACGCTGTGGTGATGTCTGTAACCCAAGCTCTTAGGGGACAGAGACAGAAAGAGTTTAGGGCCAGTCTCAGCTACATGAGTGTGACTCAAAACACTCAAAAAAAAAATCAATGAATGAGGTGTGTGTGTGTGTGTGTGTGTGTGTGTGAGTGTTTATATATGAGCAACCTGAGCACAAGGTTAAAGGAAATGGAAGTGCCCACCAAGAGAGGTCTAGGTTGAAATGCCAGCTTCTATTGCAGACTCTTGAGTACAGGCTGGCAAGACATGGCTTTTTTTTTTTTTTAACCTGTTTTGCTTCTTTTCTCAAATGTGGTTTGATAGATGGGTAAAGTTTAAAAGGTTCTCATGACCTATTACAAGAGCAATGGGCAAATGCTTCCAGTTTTGACATTTGCAGTGCTTGCAGAAGCGAGAGCCCCATCTACTTGGTTAGAGCACTTACAGACACACAGAGGTGCCTCCTGAGCTGTGTGACTTCTTCACATGAGCAGCTGCTGTGCCACATGCTGTGCAACCCTGAGTGACACTACATCCATGACACTGCTTCTGGCTTTCTCCGCTTCCCTGTTATTAAAATCTTGCTTGTCAAGACCAAGCATAAAATCTCCCTCCTCTGTGAAATCTTTGGGGCTATCAGCGAGAAGTAATTTCTTCCTCTAAATTCCTCTACGGCATTTCTCTTAGTGTACAGTGCAGCTGGAAGCTAATGGAAGGAAATGCCCAAGACTTATCTACCACCACCACCCTGCCCCGTGCCATTCCACAAAGTCTACTGTGTTGTAGAATTCGAGTTTCATTGAGGATGACTCACATGCTGGTGAAACACTGGACTATGTTAGAGCTTGTAATGGTTAATCCTGGTTGTTAACTTGACTGGATTGAGAATAAACTGAATGTGGGCAGTGACAGTCCCCGGGGGAGGGTCCTAGACTGGATAAAACAGATAAAGCTGGGCTGGAGAGATGGCTCAGTGGTTAAGAGCATTTAGAGGTCTTGCAGAGGTCTGAGCTCAGCTCTCTGCACCCATGTCAAGTGGCTCACAACTCCCTGTAATAGGGGAATGTGAAGTCTTCTAGGGAAGCCCCTGCAGACACCTGCACTCATGTGTACAAAGCCATAATTGGAAAGAAATAAGCAGACAGGGGGAGCACTGTGTGGTGGTATTCATTCCTTTCTGCTTCCTGACTGCAGATGCAACAAAACCAACCTTCCTTGCCTTCTCTGCATGACACTGTGTACCCTTAAAGCATGGATCAAAATGAACCCCTTTTTTCTTTTTTTTCCATAAGTCAAAAATAATTTTAATTCCATTTACCTAAAATGTATAGATCATGGAAAGCCATAAAGACACAAAATAAGTCTCTGATTGCTTACAATTCTGAGGAGTACATGAATGACTATAATACTTTGTGGGATACATGAATGACTGTATAACTCTGCGGTGTACTTTAAGAACTCTGCATAACTCTGTGGCTATATGAAGGACTGTATATAACTGTGGGGTATATGAAGGACTGTATATAACTCTGTGGGGTATATAAAGGACTGTATGTAACTCTGTGGGGTATATGAAGGACTGTATATAACTCTGTGGGTACATGAAAATGTCAGGGGTTAATGGGCCTTCCTCTTCTGTTTGTCAGCAAAACTCTTTCCAAGAGCAACCAGATTGTTTAATAGCATGAATCTGGGAGAACAAACACTGCAGACATTAGTAAGCAGATAAACCACAAAATTCCAAACTCATGAATTTCTATTATCTTGAGACAGTTGTATTCTTTTTTAATGTTTGTGTATATTTATGTGTGGACAGGTATGTGTGGAGGCCAGCAGACAGACAGGACACCAGCCACCTCCTTTGAGACAAAGTCACTCATTGGCCAGGAGCTCTCCAATTATGCTAGGTTAGCTGCGAGCCATGGGCCCTGGCATTCTTACCTGTGTTCTAGAAACTGAACTCAGGCCCTTGCACTGGAAATAAAATAAAACAAAGGCAAGAGCTTCTCAGCTGAGCTGTCTTGCCAGCCCCACTTCCAATATTTGGTTCATCACCATTGGAAAGAATCAAGACAAAATAACCCAAAGATTTGATATGAGCAACAGAAGAAGGATTTTAAAGTTTTTCTTCCTTGTTCCAAAGAAGTCAGACAACTCTAGAAACTTTCCAAGGATAAATGCAATTTCAAAGTCAAACAGAAAAGAAGGGGCTTCTCTTTTCAGGAAATTCAGAACATCCTAGACAACCAAGCACATGCAGACTGTTTTATAGACACCATGTAAAACGTGTCACCTGCTTTAGTACAGGAAGAGCAATCAAATTGGTGGGGCAGTCTTACTATAAAATAATAATAATAATAATAATAATAATAATAATAATAATAATAATAAAGCTGCATGTGCACAGAGACCAAAACAAATTTCAGACAGAAAGCAACCAGGTGTTCTTGTTTTTGTTTTTTAAATGAAGACAGTTGGCTTGAAAACACACAGTTCAGAGAGATTTGAATAGCATCATAGAGTAACCAGCTGTAACATTGACTTTTCTCTCATCTTCTGCTAAAGTCACACATCTGCTTCTTGGGTGCGGCTATAGTGAGAACAACAGAATGTGTGATTTCAGATCTTAGACCAAATGCTTCAAGCTTCTCACCACTGCTCCTGGTAAGGAACGAGGGGTTTGTGGAGTGACTCTGGGTGAAGACAGCATAGCCTGACTCAGTGGAGTGGGAGACAATAAAAGCAAAGCGTGTTTTCAGAAACTGGAGTGGTCTCTTGTACACTAACCCTTTCTTATAGACTAAATGTAAAATCCAGACTTGGACTTAATACAGCCCATGGGTGAGTTCCGTGATGAAGCACACACTATCTAGCTGAAAACCGATCCTTCTCAAGTCTCTCTGAAAATGGCATGAGACAAATCAGTCTCGGGACATCTGGGCCTTTGTTGCCACCTGCAGCTGGCTCCAGCTCAGGCCAGTCTGAAGTCACCTCAATGTTCGTCAAACATCCCCACTGCTTTACAAACCATCCCAACAATATTATGAGTTCATCATAACAGTCACAAACAACACTGCCCCTGGGAGGTCCAGAGCCCACTCGTCCTAGGTTCTTATAGATACAGCATCAGTTTGAGGGGAAAGATTACAGAGGAGAGGGCATTCAAAGGCAGAGACAGCATGGCTGATGAATCCCTCCTCACCCAAATGCCCCTGTCCAGAACAGACATTGCCCTGTGTGCTCTGCAAGACAGGGAAGGGGTGAAGGAGCAAGCACACAGAATGTTCTGGCTTCCACAGCATGCCATGGCTTGCACAGCCGCTATGCATAGCCTCTTGCCCGATAACAACATCCCCCTACTCCCTGCTGGACATTAGCTCCAGTTCCAAACAGCTAGCTTGTGCACGGAGACAGCCAAAACTTAGCTATGATTTGAGTTTCAGTGGAAGAGACCAGAGAGAAAAATTACCAGCTACTTCCTGCCACTTCTTCAAATCTCTCTTTAAAGGTTTTATTTACATAAGAAATGCTTTTTGTGCACCCCTCTCGGATCTTTCAAAGCAAGTTTGGGTGTTTTTTTTTTTTTTGCCAAATTTAATGTAAGCTATGCATGTATACAATAAGATACTCGGTTAAAACTGCCATCGACTAATTTTATTTCTTGTTTTTGTCTAAAGCAGGTAGCATGCCAGCTAGCCTTTTAAAGCAGTCTGCAGCGGTGATGTCAGCACAGCAGGGTATATTCACCTGCTTAGCTGCCACCTTTCCTCCCAAGGCTGCTTGCTGGAATGACAGAGAGAGGCTCACCTCAGGAAACACAAGTGATGGGACTCCCTTGCATCACAAGGGCAGAAGGGAATTTGGCTAAAAAGACTCCATTCCTTCCTACAACCGCTCAGTTTGCTGGGACCCTTGGGACTCCTCTACTCTCAGCAACCACCAGCTTTTAGGAAACATACTTGCGAAGTTTCCCTCTCATGCTTACTGTTGGGATTCTCCTTGTAATCGATCAAGTATTCTGAGATGTTTCATTTATCTATCATTGTTTCTCTGTTTTCCTTCCTTTATATATAAACATCCACCCTGACATTTTGAATATTCAGAAGAAGGGTGAAATTAGATTTATAACAATGACGTTCCCATTAGCAAATGATTGAGTCAGCCAGTCTGCACCAGCTCAGTGACACAGCATAATTCACAGAACAGCAGTTCCCTTACTTGGGCAGTCTCTGCAGCACAGTCTTCAGTTCTTCACATATGAGCTTGACGAGTCCATTCTTTATGTTACTGTATGAGACATCGATCATGAAGATAAAGGCTGGTGGGTTGGGAGGCTTATTCTTCTGCAGGAAGGCAAACATCACACAGGGAGACACAGAGTAAGTATATTTCATAATCAAATGTAAACAAACTCTGAGGACTATCAGATGCTTCGGTCAATACTTAGGATCAAACATCTGTGGATCAAATAACTTTCTAGGATACCCAGTCCCCAATGCTATAAAAAAATAAAAATAAAAGGAGCTGCTTATTTTCCAGGTTATGACATGAATTCACTTTCTATTATGTTTAACAGAGATGGAGGCTCGCTTTCATGTCTCAGAGACCCCCTACTGTGACTGCTGAGGGAGGTGGAGTGTTGGGCCAGCTTTGCATGCAGCATGCTCCCTTATAGGAGGAAATGGGGGCCCTGAAAAGGAATGCTAAAAGGGTACAATTGAAAATTAACATTTTTGGAAGCTATAACCAAACTTCATTAGCTGGGATATCATAATTTCAGGTCTCTTTCCAGGTCCTTTGGTTTTAGATATATTTTCTTGTTCTGTTTTTTAAACAAGGTCTTGATGCATAGCTCAGGCTAGCCTCAAACATAGTCAGTTCTCTTGCCCAAGCCTCTCCACTGTTAAGATTACAGGAATATACCAACACACTCAACTACAGATATGAAAATGTCTATTAAGATTTAGCTGCATACCTTAAAATGTACATTATAAACTACTTTCCAAACTTACTTCATATTGTGGTAAAGAAAAATGGCCCTTTTCCTATGTCTTTGCAACAGTCACTGTAACATAAAACAGCTGTTATGAAAATTGGCTCTCATTGGTTCCCAATCTGGCTGGTGTCCAAATAGTTCATAAGGAAGTGATCCTTCAGCTGGGATTTATAAAATGTTTAGAAAAAGAAAGCCACAGGCAAATATCAGTGACCTCCACTAGAAAATAAAGACCTAAGAGCAACAGTTTTTCAACTTATGGTAAAGCATCAGAATGTTCTAAAATTAAAATACATTTCAATTACTATATGACTAGATGATAACAGTTATAAATGATCTCAGTTGATTCAGTCTGTATCTACTACAGTAGACATAATACAATTCTAATAAAATACCCCATTTCAAACAAAAGGTTATAAGACTTAAAATTCAATCTGAAAATGTCACTTTTCCATATCCAAAATCAGAACAGTCAAGGAATGAGGGAGCTCCGCTGGTATCTACGTGATGATTTCTTGTCAATCCCCACGTCCCATCTCACCGATTCCGTAATGCAGGTTATAGCAGAGAAAAAGAGCAACCATTCTCATGAATTAAAGCAATTGTCATCTCTTGGTGACAATCCCAATTGTATCTTATTATTCTTATACACTCTCACACATTCCTCGGAAGTCATTCCTCACTGACCTGTTCCACAGCTCTAGCCAGCTTGTCTGTCTAGGAATCCTTCTCTCACTAAGACTTGTTTTCAACATGTATAAAGTTAATCTGCGGTTCCTCCACACATTGCCTTCCGGGTTCTGTCAGTGACAGCACTACCTGACAGCTCAAAGGCTTCAACCCTGACTGGACTTGACTGCTCTGCTTCCCTCGGCCATCTGTTTTTGTTGCTTTTGTTGTTTTGTGTTAAATGGTTCTTCCGGCCACTTGGTCCCAGGGCCCCCCCTAGCTCTTTCCCACAGACCCTCTCAGTCTTCCCTTCTGGTCATCTCCATTCTTTGTGTCAGCCACCAACCTGCAGAAACACTCTTTACCAGAGGACCACCCGACACACAAACTGGACTGAGACACCAGTAGGCAATTTTCACTCTTTCCTGTCCTCCATTCAGGTCCTCCGGACTCACTCTTAGCCCTGTTGCAGCCTGCCTGCAGGAATCCTTCCTCTTAGCCAACCTGTATACCCCAACCTCTAGGGATTCTTCCTCTTGTTGCAGACCAGGGTTCCCGTATATCTTTTCTACTCCCCAAGTCAGCCTTTCCTTCTAGAGCATATCCATCCATTTGTGTCATGTACCAACCAGCAGAAACATTTTCTATAAGTGAACCTTAGGTGTTGAAGACAAGATGAAAGAAATGGATACCAAAAAAATCCAGGGACAAAACATCCAGGAAAACTTGGACACAATGAAAAGCTCAAATCTATAAATAATAGGAATAGAGGAAGGATAGAAAACCCAGGTCAAAGGCACAGAAAATATTTTACAAAATCATAGAAAACAAATTCTCCAACTTATAAGAGAAGCCTATCAAGGTACAAAAAGCATGCATAATACCAAAAAGATTGGAACAGAAAATAAATGTCCATGGATTACTTTTTTTTTTTTTTTGAGACAGGGTCCCACTAGTTCTGGCTATCCTGGAACTCACTATGTAGACCAGGATGACATTGAACTCACACAGCTCTGTCTGCCTCCTCCTCCCAGGTGCAGGGATTAGAGAGAGAGAGGTGTGTGTCAGCCTGGCTGGCTGCTCCTGGTTAACTTGCTCATGCCACTTCCTGATACACACCTTGCTGATCACATTCTCCTACAGCACTTTGACCATTCTTCCTTCACAGTATGTAACACACACTTAGGTTTTTGTTGTGATTATACATGCTTCTTTGAACTGCTTATCACATTGCTGATTTGGGGTAATTCTTTCAGAACAAAGACAAGTTGTTTGGACATGCAAGGTATCTAAGAAATGTCAAAATGAACTAAAATTAACTAAGAAAAAAACCCTACATTTTTATTTAGGAAGAAAAGGATTCGTTTGGCCTCAGGGAAACTCCATCCTGATTTTGTAAAACATCTGACCACACACTTGATGGTACAATGACAGGAGGTAGGGCTCTGACCCATAGACACACTTTTAGTGTGGCAGCGTCACCTTCTACACATTTGATCTGCAGCTGAAGCTCTCTTACCTGTCCCCAGACAATGTGACATACAGCATGTGGACTCACTGAAGGCTAAATGTTATCACACATATGTAAGAAGTATCTTGCAGGGACACACATGGTGCTCAACAAATGCTAATTTTATTCCCTAAAGTCAACATTAAGATTAACTAAATGGAGGAAAATATGATTCTGTAATTATCTTTTCAGTGTATATAGTTATAGCATTAATATATACACACATATATATATGCAAAGTAAATAAACTCCTTTTCACCATCCAAATCCCTAAGTCAACTCACTATTTTACTTCACTTACATTTTAGATTATATAAAACACTATGCATTTACTACAAACTCTACTTAGATAAAAGGAAGACAAAGCTCCAAAGGTTACAATTACTTGGCTTCCTGCTTTCTGGGTAAGATTTCCCATTTATTATCCTTCTAGAATACTGCCGTAAAAAAAAAAAATTGAAGCTACATTGTTTCTAAGCATAGGTTTGACTCTCACTGATGTTTCCATTGAAAACAACATAAGGTCCGTAATGATCATTTTGGCAGACCTAAAGTCTCAGCACATGACGGAATTCATACTCCAGCTATGGAGTGCAGTGAGCAAACTCCATCACAACTTACAATGGCTTTGTCATATTTAATTAGAACACCAAATGTTTCCTTTTGTATATTGATTCTCCTCTAGTCAATAGCAGGAAAGAACAAAGGAACCGTTGAAATGTAAATTGTACTTGGAGACATGTTTGATGCCTGGCATAAAGCCTCTGTATCAAAAATGTTTTATATGTCACCAATTAAGTTAAATAATTCACAACAAATCAAACTAATAAATCATTGGGTTTTTCTTTAATAACTATTCCTATGTATACTAGTTTAAAACAATCATAAAATAGTCAATTGAATAATAAGATGTTAACTGAAAATTTTAAAGATTTAGCCAAATACAAAGAAAGACTAATATGGATAAACTTTCTGGCTATCTTTTTTCAACACATGGATTTGCTCTCTAGAAAACACCTCTGGAAGCAGAGCGTTGGTGGCACACACCTTTAATCCCAGCCCTCAGGAGGCAGAGGCAGGCAGATCTCTGTGAGTTTGATACAAGCCTGGTCTACAAGAGTGAGTTCCAGGACAGACTCCAAAGCTACACAGAGAAACCCTTATCTAAAACCGAAGGAAGGAAGGAAGGAAGGAAGGAAGGAAGGAAGGAAGGAAGGAAGGAAGGAAGGAAGGAAGGAAGGAAGGAAGGAAACATCTCTGGAGGAAACCTGCAGCTAGGGGCTGTTGTCCAGAAGTGAGATATTGGAAGGCATTCGTTTTGGGAAGAGGAAGGAAAGTAAGAGGGACTGGTCCTGTCTTCACCTGCCCATGATGCTTCAGAAGCACACTCGAGTTTCCTCTGCAACTAAGAATAAACACTATGGTTACTCACACGGGAGTCTGTCCTTGTAACACAAAGGGTCAGAGTAACTCATCTGCAAGTCCTCACTCACCCATTCATTCCACTTGTGTTGCCCTATTCCCAATTGTGTCAGACACTGCAGAGACATCACAAAGCAAAGCCAAGGTGTCAGAACGTATGAGGAGGACACACATGCAAAAACCACAAATGCCACCGGGAGAACGAACAAAACAAAGATGTTACCTAAGCTTGATGAAGAAAAAGAAAAGCACCAGTTGGAACAAATAAATGAAGATATGTGCTCATAATAAACTTCCAGCTAGTCAGAATAAGCAGGAATTCTCCAGACAGGAGTCATACAGACTTGATGGGTGAGTAGAGAGACACTCTCTTATCTTTACTATATAAAGGCAGAGCTGATAAAGTCAGTCACTGTGCTGAGAATTGACAGCTCTGTGGTGGTAGCATAGTGTGCAACAGTCAGTGGCTTTATAAGGAAAGTTAATGTTGCTATATGTTTTTTTTTCTTTTAAGAAAGAACTCTAAGAAGCTTATGGGGGGTAGTCAAATAAGTCTCAGTTACTCATTAAAGTAAGGAAGCCAGCAGCCCTCTAAGGATACTGGTTAAGTTTCTGCCTTGGTAGAGAAGTCATTAACAAACAAAAAGAGGCTGAGACCTGAATGAATTTATTGCATTAAGAAGCATTACAACTGGGCAGTGGTGGTGCATGCCTTTAATCCCAGCACTCGGCAGGCAGAGGCAGGTGGATCTCTGTGAGTTTGAGGCCAGCCTGGTCTACAGAGTAAGTTCCAGGGCAGATTCCAAAGCTACACAGAAAAGCAGTACAACATCTGGGAGTTGTGGCACACACCATTTGTCCCAGCATTTGGGAGTTGGAGGATCAGGAGTTCAAGGTCATCTTCAGCTACACAGCAGGGTCAAGGCCCAAATTCAGTGAGACCCTGTCTCAGAAATCAAATTAAAACAAACAAAAAAGCAGGATACTCTCTCTCTCAAACAGATAAAAGGAATTGTTTCCTATCTCTGTACCACACTTGTAAGCTTGATTACTCCAAGAGACAGTTCAGCAACTGAATCATGTTAACCATCAAGATCAGCTCTGTGTCATAGGTATTTCTACAGGACCCAGGAGGCTGTCTGTGAACCATGTCATATCTTTATATATGGAAGCTGTTTAGTGAAACTCAAAATCAACGCAGGAATGCTTAAGTCCTGGCAACACTCACTCTGCAGTAATCCAAAGTAGCGACATATTCATAGGATCCCAGCGACAGCTCTGGCTTCTCATAGTGGTCCACTCTCCTTCCAATGTGGTCCAGATGTTGGAAATAGAATGGAGGAACTACAGAAAACAAACCAGGGCAGGAAGTCCTTTGTTTTCACAAGCAGACAACCCAACAATTTCTCAAATTTTATTGTCGAGGAAAGGCGTTTTTGTTCTCAGAATCATTATTGTGAGAGCATGTCTTAGAAATATGTGAAAATTCTCTTTTTAAAACTCACTACATTTTTGACTCTTATATGTGTTGTAAGTCATTACAGTTTTGCCTTTTAATTATGTTTATAATAGTTTTGCCATATATAAACTTTGATTTTTTTATAGTCAAATCAATCTGCCTGGAATTCTATCTATAGAACTACATAATTTTATACATAATTTGCATCAGTGTTGATTGCTTCATTATTATTTCTCAGTATAATGCATTACTACATTTTAGTCATGAAATATTTTACATACAGAAAAACCACAGACCACACTACTCACATTCATGTAACCAGAATGAGAGCTTTGCTAAAAACCCATTTATAAACAGAGATCCTCTTGACCACATAAAAGTTATTGATATCAAATAACACATAATTTTGGGAACTCCAGAGAGAAATGCTGTTGTTTTCTAGCTAATACACCCAAATATCTGCCTCTACCTAGTTACTGCTTTTTAAAAAAATCTAGTTTTATATTTGAATTTTTAACATAGCTGACAGAGACTAATGCTGACTATCTGGATATACTATCAGCTACAATCTTTATTACACCTTAATTAAGAAATGTCTTCATCCTTCAGCTTTCACAGGCTAATCTGCTACCATTGGCCCCACTCATGTAGAAGATTACTGTATTAGGGAAAGACTGCACCCGAAAGATCTCAGCTGAAGTCTAATTTGATTCAAATGTCTCAGAAGGTTACTTCTAGCAAGTTCTGGAAGTCACCCAAAGGCAGGGCAAGACTTATGACTCACACACTGAACACTTGGACAAATAAGGCCTGGTGTCTCTGTGCAAACGAGCTCCTGTTGCCTGGAGACAGCCAGAGAAGGCTGTGAAACTTCTGTTAATAGTATGTGGGAAAGTCACCAATGCTTTTAAGTATTTTGCTAAGAACAGCATCTTCCTTTGTAAAAACCACAAAAGCAGTACCTTTTGGGTTGAAACCAACACTCGGCAGTCTTTATGTTCAGCTGTGAACGTGCAAATTATAACAACTATTTTTCTAAAGTCTGACTTTTAAAAAACCAGAAGTTTCAGGTTCTACATTCTTACCATCTCCTGGCTTTTAGAAGTGAACTCTATAAAGTTTATATTTACATATTTGACCCTGAACTTGGTGAATTCAACATCTTGAAAAGATTACAGAAGGCAAACATGACAGTCTCTCTCAGTAAAGTCAATAAACCAGGGACCATGATGGTGACTTAGTTACATGTGGGTGTCATGCAGATTTCTGGGTTGTTGGGCTTATAATGTGTGGAATGGTAATTTCTATACAGAATAATGTATAATTCACTCACACTCCCACATCTACATGTAATGTGATTTCTAAAAATTAATTTTACATGCTCATTAACATTTAATAATATCCTGTCACCTATCCTTAACCAAACTCAAGTCACACCATGAATTATGCTCTGCCATATCATCTGTTTCTTTCTTGGTTTCTCTGTGTCTATGTGTGTGTGTGTGTGTGTGTGTGTGTAACTACACATGTGAGGCCATGTTTGTGTATGTGCATGTGTATGTAACTGCACGTGTGAGGCTGGGTCAACCTCAGGTGGTATTCCTCGAGAGCCATTCACTTTGTCACTGAGACAGGGTCTCTCACTGGGACTTGGAGCTTGACCATCTGGCTAAGCTGGCCAGCCAGGAGCCATAGGAATTCTCCTGTTCCCACTTCTCCAGCCCCAGGGGTTACAAGCATGCATCACCACACTCTGCTTTCTTTTCATGTGGGTGCTGAGGGCCAAACTCAGGCCCTCATGTCTGTGGATGAGTGCTTGTGGTGCTGCCCCTCACACTGTCTAACATCCACGTTCGTGGATCTGCGATAGGGTGGAACCAAAGACATCATCATAATGCCCCTTCCTCCTTAAGATTCAACACTTACATCAGAAGGGAAAAGCCCTTGGTTATCTGAGCTTTTCCTAAATACCAGTGAATTCAAGAACAATCACAGGAGATAAAATTGAAGTTTCTAGGGCTTATCTTCTGTAAATGCAAGGAGTAAAACCTCACATTGCATTCAAATGAGGCACTGTGGAAGGAAATACAGCTCCACCATTACATGCTTCAGTTTTATGCAAAGCGACAGCACAGTTACCGTGTAGGGCTCCAGCAGCTACATACAGATAGCAGGGACCTAGTTCCATTAGTAATGGCTTCTGTTTAGGGACCTTACAAGTAATGCCACCTAGAAAACAAAGTCTGTCTTTCCTAAGCTAAGGCATGCTACACATCTTATTTTGAAATAAAAAGCCTTTCCAAAGTATTCTTAATGGCACCATTTACCTTCATTCACACAGTTGCAAAATGCACACTGATAACGCCTTCCGCCTTCAATGAACTGCATGAACGGGCACATGTAGGCTTTGCACCTGTTGCACCGCACTGGTCCGCTCTCGCCGTGATTGACCAAGTACAAGGGGGTCTAGAAGGAGGAAGACAATGAAATGAATTGGGAGCACAGGGACCCCGGGTGCTATCAAAATCCTCCACTGGGACTCATTGAGAAACTCTTACTGATCATTTGCCGGGACAATGGTGATTCTTCCCAGGTCTTTATTGAATTCAAGGATTATGGCACAGTGCACTACACTCAGACAATGACTCATTTAAATCTATGTATCATTTACAAACATGTATCACTTGTAAACACCTATTAGCACCTGCATATTGATGCCAATATGTGTATGCATGACTACCCATATGTGTGTGAAAAGAGAATCTATAAGATGCAATAATGTAAATATTTCATAAAGCTTATGTTAAAATGTCCTTGGTGCTTATAGCATGCATCCTGCTAAGCTGTACACACTCCAAACAAAATAGCAAGATGCCTGTTTTAATGGTCTTGTGTATGGCAGAATGTTGTCCATGTAGTTTACAAATGATTTCTTTTAAAACAAAACTATTTGGCCTGGAGACATGGCTCAGATGTTAAGAGAACTTTGCTCTAGAGGACCCAGGTTCAATTCCTAGTACCACCATGGTTGCTCACAACCATCCATAACTCCAGTTCCAGGAGATCTTATGCCCTCTTTTGACCTGCATGGGCACCAAGCACACTCGTGGTGCACATACACACATGTAGGCAAAACACTCACACATAAAATAAAATGAATACATATAATTAAAAAATTGAAAAACGAAACTATTTGAAAAATATGCAAGCATGCCCACTTCTTTAAGGCCGGAGGCCAATGGCCCTTCCTGTTACTTCATTAAATGGCAAAGCTACATAGTACCCTTCGTGAGGCTGGTCATGCTTGACAGAACTGGAAAAAAATACTTGATTCAAATGCCTCTTTCTCATCAGTGTAACACAGAAGGCCAGACTGAAAGCAAAGAGGCCCAGCAATAGGACTCTTCTTATTTCTTTTTTCTAGACAAGGTTTCTCTGTGTATCCTTGGCTGTCCTGGAACTCACTCTGTAGACCAGGCTGGCCTCCCACAAAGACCCTTCTTGCTTTTATAAACCTGTCTAAAAGGGAACATTTTTGGAAATGTCTGAGAACTGCGGAGCTCTTCATGTCAATTAAAAAAATTTAAAGATAAAGTTATAAATACAGAAGATTACTTTTTTATGGATGCCCGAAGAGCAGAGGACCATCAGGTGGGGTGACAGATCATCAGGTGGGCTAAGGGACCATCAGGTGGGGTGAGGGACCATCAGGACATTTTTTCCCAAAGGTTTAGAGAACCTAGTCCTGATGTTTGCCTTCGTCAGACGTTCAACGTGAAAGCTGATCCACTGCTGGGGTTTCAGAAACAAGCTATGAGGTCTCAGAACAGTGGGGGAAGAGAAAAGGTGGGAGGAGAGGAGGAGCAGTTGTTGAGACAAGGATTAATGTGTGCGTGTAGAGACCTGTTCTTGGCACAGATGGCTGGGGAGATGTAGCTGCCATTGTTTCTATCTGGAACACCGTTATCTCTCTACAAAGCACTTACCACATGAGAAACTGTCTTTAATGGGAGGGTTAGAGCTGGATAGCATGAAATGTACTTGGGTTTCTGAAGACAAATGTCTTAGTTACTGCAAAATGTTCTCATAAAAATGACCTAGGGGACAGAAAACCTACCCTCCAGGAGACTTTAAAAAGGTTACGTACTAGTGGTTAAAAGTTGAGAGGCATTTTAAATCATCTTAGGGATTTGCTTCGAGTCTGCACATGGATGTGCACAGTAACATTTTTATATAAACTTTTTGTTTGAAAGACATAAGCTGGCCTGAGTTTGCTCTTTTTAGCTAGTAGCAATAAAACATGATCTGGGGACCAGAGTGAGCAGGAAGAAACAGGCACCAAACAAAAAGCCCTAGGACAAAGAGGACAGAGTCAGGAGAGTAAGAACTAAAGACAGAGAAAATGGACACTGCTTCTGATGCTTCTGTTTACTCTCTGATAACCAGCAACACTATCTGAAGCAAAACAAGCAATTTGCCTTCACCATGGCCAAATTCTACTCTTTCATTCTTTTGTTTTCAAAGACGTCAAAGACTATAACCAATTCCCTGAAATCAACTTTAGAAACAAATATGGCACAATTATTTGCTAGACAAGCCAGGGGGAATGGGAGGAAATTTGCCTTTATTTTTAGTGTTATAATTTGCCCAAAGGCAGACCATGCCTAAAACGTCTGGGAAGTATCACCAACCACTGTGCAACCATTCCAGTACTGGCAGATTCAAACCCACAGAACTAAGCATGAAAGTCCAGGAGTAAACTGCAGTCAACACAGGACTGTATCTTGGTTATTAAGAACACTCATGTTTTCCTGTGTTTGCTCCTTTGGAAAGTGGATGATGATAAGAAAGATCTTCAGACAACCAGGGTGGTAGTAAAGAATGTTAAAAGCTTTTTAACTGTTTATCTTTTATTCAGGGGCGATGGGGAAAGGGTTTTTTAAATAGCACTGTCTTGTTTAATCTTCCAGGCTGTGTTGAAAACCGCCAGGATTTATTCTCTTTCCATGTGTCCACTTATCTGCTCCACAGTGAATACGCTCAAAAAGAGTTAAGCTGCCTTCTTTTCTATGTTTAATTGTACATATATATTTTAAGTGGAATTCCTTCTTCTCTAGAACTGGCTAAGCTGCTCACTTTTCTTACCGAGGGCACTCACTGTATCACACCCGCCCCAGCAGTGTCTTCTAAGTGTGCTTTCATCTTTGACCTCTAGTACACTCCTGACCACTCTTCCTCTTTTTCTGACTATTCCTAGTTCTGCTGCCATGTCGCATGAGTTTATCAACATGCAAGTGACACAGGCATGGAAGAAAGGCAAGGACAAAGATGATTTTGAATCTCCTATTTTTGGATTATCAGGGGTGTGAAAACAGCATATTGGTATTAGTTTTTCATTAAAATGTTTAAATTGAACAAAATGTATCTTTTTGTGTAAGTAAAATTATCACTCAGAGTTGGTCAAAGGGGTCCTATGGACCATGCAAACATCATGTCTATCGGTTACTCTCCACAATCTAATGCTTAGGCCCTATTCCTAAAAATACTAACATCAAACACGAGAAACCAAACTGACTAGAGTTCATAGTTCTGGATGGTACCCTCTGTGTTTTACTTGAAGAGAAAAATAATCATTAATATTACCCAGCTACAAACTCTAGGACCTACAACAGTGGCCTGCATACAAGATACACTGGTGCAATCGTGGCTCAAATGTTATGGGAGTAAGCACCCTCTTTTGGCTTGGATTTAAGGCCCATTCCATGAGATGGATCCCATAGCTGAAACTGCTAAGGTGGCCAGGAACCTGGGAATAGATAATTCATGGGCCTAGGGGAAAACCTACTGTATTATTCTGCTGAAGAAACAGCAATAAAATGACTCCTAATAGTATACTGTTATACCCATTGATCAGAACATTGCTCACACTTGTCAGAGAGGCTGCTTCATGCAGCAATTGGGAGTTAACAGAAGGACTTACAACTGGACAATGGCATAAAGAGTGAGAGACTTTGGCACACTCAGACCCCTCCTAAATGTGGTGTCTTCATCAACCCTTCCCCTCAAGGCTCAAGTGTCTGCTCAAGTGGAGGCAGAAACACTAGAAGAGCCAAAAGTGACTTGTGACTCCAAGGAAACAGCCTTTTCAAATACAACAGAGCTAATGTATGTATGAACTCACAGAGACCGTGAGGGCACACACAAGACCCTCACAGGTTCAGAGCATACAAAATCCCAGAGATGGAGAAGGGAACACAAAACCTCATCTCTGACCAAGAAACTATTCACAATTGATATTAGCTGATACATGGGAAATCAATTTTCTCCAACAGAGTGTCACTGACATTGACAACCACATTCCAGGGAAGGCTCCATGCCCAAGGAGAGCAGGTCAACACAAAACAGATTCTATGTTTTGTGTGTTTACTTTGGGGAGGGGTTGTTTGTTTGTTTTTGCATTGTTGTTTTTATTTGTTTGGTTTGATTTTGGCTTTTTAATGTTTTGGGTTTTGAAGGGGAAAGGACATGAAGTTGGCTGGGTAGGGAGCTAGAGGGGATCTGGGGGAGGGGAAAATTGTAATTAAATATATAAAAAAAGAACATTTCAAATAAAATACCACTCAGCAATACTGTGCAGTCATTGATTAAAAATGCCATAACTTTTGACTATTTTTCTAATTAAAGAAGAGGTGTTACAGTATTGATCATCATCTCCTTGACATCATTGATACCATCTTGTAAGTATCCCCCCCTTTTTTTTGTATCCTTATTTTCATGATCAGTGGGTTTCATTCTCAGGCAACTCTAACAGTCTTGCCTTGGGTTCTGAATCACTGTCTGTCTCAGTGAGCTTACCATGCATGGGATGAACAGTAAGGAAACAAGCACATGTGTGCAGTTAGAAGGCCAGGGCACAAGCAGAAAGAAAACATCATGGAGCATCACTAACAAAAGCTATTTTTAGCTTAGAAAGCAGATGTGAAACTAGGCACAGATTATATCTTCAAAGCAAAATCAGAGAATGAATCCCTGAGTAGGAAATCTCATCCAAATTGCCTGAGAGCGTTTGGCTGTGGGTCTTTTTCGGGCGTGAACGTTGTTATGAACACGGTGCATACAAAGCACAGAGCTAGGGCATGAAGCTTGTCATCCGGCAAGAGGCGGTGTGGGAGGACAATCCTAAGTCCAAGACAAGCCTCGGTTACACAGAGCAGGCTCAACAAAATAAACTCGAGACACATACGTTTGCTGTAGATTTTCTATCCTAGGACAGCAAGGAGTTACAAAAGTAACCCGCTAAGCCAAAACTGTAAAGTTTTTAAAGAATACATCCGGTAGGTGGCACTGCGGGACTAAAATTGAAAACAAAGTTCTCCGAAGGTCATGCCCAAGATAACAATTACAACCACTCATGTAATTTTAGAAACAACCAAACTTAGAGCAGCTAGTACCTCATAAGATTAATA